TTTCAGTGGCTCGAAGCTTCCGGGCCCTTCCGCTTGCTCTGCTGTTGTTTTGTTTTTGGGTCACACCTGGACATGTTCCGGGGTCACTCCTGGCTCTGCACTCAGGACTTACTCCTCGAGGTGCTCTGGGGTCCCTATGGGATGCCGGGATTGAACCCGGGTCAGTTGTGTGCAAGGCAAACGCCCTCCCCGCTGTACTAGAGTTCTGGCCCCATGGCCCAAAACTTAAAGAAAAATCCTTGCTGGGGTTGCCCTGTCCCTGGCGCCCTGTCAGCCTCGTGGGTCTGCACACGGCTTGTGCGACTGCCTCGAGTGGCCAGTGACAAGGGGTGCCCGCCTGGCCTCCTGCTCCCCAGGGCTGCTCTCTACCCGGTGCTCCCGGCCCTGCAGCCCTCAACTCCTGCCCTGTGTTCCCTCCTCTTTTCTGTGGTGTCCACCTCCTCTCTCGGTGGCCCTCCCCCTGGTGTCACCCCCCTTCCTGCGTGGTGCTGGGACAGCAGAGCTGCCGGGTTTGTGCCGGCTTTGTGCCAGGTGCATGTGTGACCCCGGGGGCTTGGACTCAGGACCTCATGCTTGTGAGGCAGTGCTCAAAACCCCCTCTCGGACATTCCTCCCCTCCAAGCTGAAGGAACGGACTTGACCCACGTTCAGGCTCACACCTCTGCTTCCTGCCGAATCACTGCCGGTCGCTAGCAGGCCAGGACCTGTGTGCCACGCCTGTGTGAAGCAGAGACGTTCTAGGGTATGAGCTTGCTAGCGTCTTTGTCATGGACACACGTGATCCCATCACAGGATTTAGGGTCACGGTCCAAACACAGGAGCATGGGGGTGAGGGGGTCGGGGCTTGTTCAGGCCGGAGACTCTACTGGGCTCACACATGGCACTGAGTGCTCAAGTCTCAGGGAGACAGTGAGGCTCAAACACATTTTCTTTTATTTCTTTTTTTTTTATAATTTATTTATTTATTGAATCACTGTGGGAAAAGTTACAGAGCTTTCAGGTTTAGGTCTCAGTCGTGTAAATATCAAACACATTTCCCTTTACCAATACTTATTTTTAACCGCGAACCCCAATAGAACCCCACCTCCCACCCCTCCCAATTCCTGTGAGGCAGATGAGTTCTAGTTAACACTCTGTCTACTTTGACTCGATTCATTGTTTCGATAAAAGATGCACCATTATTATTTAGAGTTTACAACCCCCCCCCCCCCCAAATCAGACATGCTGAAAAAGCGTTGTGAAATGATTTGCTTTCTACAGCTGGGTTTGGATATCTGCTATTTTACTTATTAACCCTGGAAGTATTTCTATTAAAAGTTAGATAATTAAGAGATTGGTTTCTGTGCTCTGGAGTCGTGGCCGTGCCAGAGAGCCGCTCGTGGGGGGCAACTGGCGACCACGGTAGGGCGTGAAGGACGGGGCGGAACGCCCCCCTTCTCGTGAGGTTTTTGCCGCCCCCGACCCCCGGCTCAAACCTGCTGTCCACCAGGCTCCCGTGCGGCCGCCACCTTTCTTTCCAGAGAGGAGAGGGCGAAGGGGGCAACACCCTTTCCCCTCCGGTCAGTCATGATGGCGCGGTTTAACACATAGTCCATTTGCTTTTCTGCTCCAAGCTGCTGGTTCTCTGTGTTAAGTCCTTGTGCTACTGGGGCCGTGGCCATACCGGAGAGCCGCTCAGTAGGGTGTGAAGCTCAAACACATTTTCTTTCGCGCTGTTTTTTTCTTTTTTTTGGCTTTTTGGGTCACACTCAGTGATGCTCAGGAATTACTCCTGGCAGTGCTCAGGACTGGTGATCGAACCTTGGTCAGCCGAGAGCAAGGCAAACCCCTCCCCACTGTGCTCTCACTTCAGCCCCTCCTTTTGCATCTTTTTGTGTCTTTTCAGAATTGATTGACTTCCTCGTAGCGTTTGCTGGCCCTGACGTTCTCTGTAGAGTCCCTTGTTGCACACTGTGTTTCGTGGGCACCTTGGCATCAAGACTTGGCGCTTGCCTGGTGCATGGCTCACCCCATAGGTCCCCTGAGCACCACCAGGAGTGATTCCCGAGTGCAGACCTAGGAGTAACCCTGAGCACTGCCGGGTGTCCCAAAAAACAAAAGGAAAGAAAGAAAATAGGTATCCTTGACCGGAAGGGTAACCCAGGGCCAAGGAGCCTGCCTTGCCTGTGGCTGACCCCACCCCACCCTGTACGTCACCCCCCCCCCCCACCAGGTCCTGCCAGGATGAGCCCCGATGACTGCATCAGAGTCGGCCCTCAGCCCCTAGGTTAGGTCACTCCGCCCTCCCCTCCTCCCCACCACTTCCCCGTTCCTGCTCACTCATCCTCAAGGGGACCCGCACTCATTCAGCTTGTGCTCCCATCCGAGCAGGCCAGGCCATACTCCTCTGTACAGCTCTCAGGCCTTAGTGGGCTGGGCCACTCCCTGGCCACGGTGCGGCAGGTGTTGCTCACAGCACTGGGGTCACAGAGAGCAGGGCTGTCAGGGTCAGGCTCAGGGCCTCTGCCCTGTCGCCGTGCCCCTCGCCCCCCCCTTCCCGTCCACAGATTTTATGGCCCGGCTCCTGAGGAGGACCCTGGGCATGGTCACTGGGTCCAGGTCCCACTCGGGAGATGCCGAATGACCTCAGCTGGAGATCTGTAACTGCCAAACATTTGTCAAACGTTTTCTGAAACCACTTTCTCAGGGCCCAGGGGTCCAGAACTGGGCCCCGCAGGGACCAGAGGCACATTGACCAGCTAGTGCTGGCGTCTGCAGGGCAGCCCTCCGGAGCCTCAGCCGGACCCTGGCGTCACGAAGGGTGGCGCCTGCCCCTTTAAGAAGGGCCCATGATGCCCTCCTCCTTGCTGAATTCTCATTCTACCTTGGAACGTTCTAGACTCCAAGTGCCATTTTCAGTCTCTGCAGGAGACTGGCACGAGCCTGTTTGGCAGAGCTCAGTTCTCTAAGCTGCGAGTGCAGTGTGACACAGGTGAATCTGAGTCTTAGGGCTTTTTGCCCGCGTGGGGGCGGCTTTTCTCTCTAACAGTTCTTTAGTGTATGATAGTTTTTAATCTTTAGTTTGTTTAAGTTTTTTTAGTAGTTATATATATATTTTTGGGGGTTGGGGTGGGGGTTGGGTGGGGTGGGGTGGGGTGGCCATACCTGGCTGTGCCCAGGGGTCACCCTGGCCGGCTAACGTCCCTGTGCTGACGGAGATCGAGCCCAGGACAACTGGATAGAAGGCAAGTGCCCTCCCCACTGTCCTGCCTCTCTGCCCCCTGCGGACTTTTCTATTAAATATGGAATGACTCTGAAGTTAGTGGGCCCTCATGGGGGGCTGATGAGAAGCAGAGGAGAAGATGTCACTCCCCCGGGACTGGTTGGAGCGCTGGCACTGATGAGCGCGACGAGCCCTACCAGCCACACGACGCCCACTAGGCCTTCCCGGGGTCTCGGGCCGGAGTGAGGGGTTGCCCTTTTCAGGGAAAGGGAGTCGATCCTCGACCTCCTCAGGCCCCCGGGCCTTTGTCCTTCTCGCAGAAAAGCATTTCAGGAGATGAGCTTGAAGCAGGAACATTTTATTTGGAGGCTTTTAGGAAGGGGAAATGAGGGAGGGAGTAACAGGCTCGAGAGAGAGTGCGGCTTCTCCAGAGGCGCAGAAAGCCACTGAACACGTTAGGTTGCCTGGTTGCGTTCGGTCCGAAAGTCCACACCTCAGGAGGGGAGAAGCCCGTGACATGACCGACCTCGTAGGCAAGAGCAGTCCCTGGGCTCGGGCACACATGAGCGCCCTCCCTTGGTTCAAGGGGGCTAATCTCGGGTTTTCCCCAGGCTGCCCCTGGTGGGAGTTTCTAGCTACCTAGAGTCCGTTGCTAGGGTGGTTGCCAAGGGGGTAGAGTTGAGTGGTCCAAGGTCCTCTTAGAAATTCCTTTCCTGGCCTTTGTTCCTATTCCCTCGGGGGGTCCAGCCTGCTCTGGGCCTCCTAATGTGGGTTAATTTTGACCAGACCTTGGGTCCCGTGCCCTCAGGTGGTCTTTTGGTGGCCATGAAGCTTTTGTTGACTTCCTCGGAGTTCCATTGCCATGGCGACGCTTCCCCCATCCACCTGTCTGCCTCAGTTCTGTGGGTTAAGAAATGGAGTTAATACTGGCTTGTGGTCATCAAACTTGGGCAGCGTCACAGGGAACGAAGGAAACGCCAAAACCTCCTTCGCTCCCCTTTGGCGCAATTTTTTTTTCTTTCTGGGTCACACCTGGTGATGCACAGGATTTACTCCTGGGTCTGCACTCGGGAATCAGTCCTGGCAGTGCTCAGGGGACCATATGGGATGCTGGGAATCGAACCTGGGTCGGCCGCGTGCAAGGCAAACGCCCTACCACTGTGCTATCGCTCTCCAGCCCCCCTTTGGCGCAGTCTTGCTGGGCCCTTTTCCCTGGCAGTTCTCAGCCCATAGAAAAAAGTGTGTGTGTTGCTTGCCTTAGCTTCTGTGTGTAACCACGGGCCTCTCTCACACACACATACGCACACACGCACACACATGTCCAGTGATCACTGCTGAGTCGCCTCCCGGCTAGTCAGTGTCTGGACGGGGAGGTGGTCAGTGACACTCGCAGTGCTCAGGGACGATTTCTGGCTCCTGAATGTGTTTGGGGGTGGGTGTGATGCCAGGGAGGGCGTGAGGGTCAGCTGCCCGCAGGGCAAGTACCTGTCCCCTCTGCCCTCTGGCCCCGAATCTGCAGTTGTTTGTTTGTCTGTTTGGGATTGAGTTTTTGCGCAGGAATGACACTTGGTGGGCTCAGGGGGCTGTGCGGGAGGCTGGGGGTCGCACTCGGGGTGGCGAGTGTCAGACTGGCAGCTCTCTGGGCTCCGGAAGCTGCTGTGGTCGCTCCCGTGAGACAGACTCTCTCCTCTGCTCTTCAGAGATTTATCCCTGAGAACGAGTGTGCCTCAGAAGGCCCCACAGTGGGCTCGACGGTCAGGGCCTGGTAGTGGCCGCGGCAGCGTCTGACCACCTGACCATGAGTCTGCTGAGGCCCAGCGGGCTGAAGGCCCCCACCAAGATCCTCAAGCATGGGAGCTGGGCCCTGAAGGCGCCCTCAGCCGGTAAGTGCGCTCAGCCTGGGCCAGGGGAGACTCATTCCCACCCGGGAACCCCCTCCCGAGTCCTCGCCCGGAAAGGGCTCGCTGAGCTGTAGGCACGTTCATGGCTCTGGGGACAGCTCTCTTACACAAGTGTCACATTCTGTGACTTTAGTGTCACGGCAACTAGTGTCAGCTGAGGCGACCAACACGCTCCCTCCTAACTGCTAGCCCCCTCGCCCGGGCTTGGGGACAGGCTGAGGGAAGTGGACTCACCTGGACTAAAGGGCCTCATTGCCGGCCGTAGCCACAGGACAGTGGGGAGGGCAACCGGCACCCCATGGGACTCTCCAGCCTCAACCTAACATGAGTGACCCTGAGCACAGAGCCAGAAATAGGCCCTGCGTACTGGCTGGGGTGCTCCCCCCCTAAAAGAAAAAGAAGATGGGCCAGTGGACACAGCAGAAATAAGACACTGGGTTGGAGCTTTCGCCTGGCTTGGTCCCTAGCATCACGGGGTGTGTCCAAAGATTTCCCCTCAGCTGCCCAAATATGACTGTGGCCTGGGATGCTGCAGTAGGTAGGCACGTCCCCTTCACGGCGGGCCTGGCCAGGCTTCGCCAAAAGCAGCCCCCGGCATTGGCTGGGAGAAGCCCCAAGCACTGCTGGGTGTCCCTCCCCCCCACCACCACACTTTAACTGGACCTGGACAGGCCCTTCCTGACCATTCTGACCCTTCTGACCCTTTCTGCTGTTCCAGCGGCTGCTCCCGTTGAGAAGTCCGTGCCTGGGGAGAAAACCCCCAGCGCCCCCTCCTCGGAGACGCAGGAGGAGTTTGTGGACGACTTCCAGGTCGGAGAACGAGTCTGGGTGAAGGGGAACACGCCTGGATTCATCCAGTTCCTCGGGGAGACCCAGTTTGCCCCTGGTCAGTGGGCCGGGATCGTGTTGGACGAGCCCATCGGCAAGAACGACGGCTCGGTGGCGGGTGTGCGCTACTTCCAGTGCGAGCCGCTGAAGGGCATCTTCACCCGGCCGTCCAAGCTGAGCAGGAGCTGGCAGGCCGACGATGAGACCAACGGCCTGCAGCCAGCGCCTGCTGCCCAGGCCACACCGCCCCTGTCGGCCTCCCCGGCCCCTGCCGCCGCCCCGAAGGCACCCCAGCCCTCCGCGAAGGAGGCACCGGCCGCCCCTCACATCAGCAACCTGACCAGGACGGCCAGCGAGTCCATCTCCAACCTCTCGGAGACTGGCTCCCTCAAGAACGGGGAGCAGGAGCTGAAGCTCGGGGACCGGGTGCTGGTGAGTGCCGATGGCAGCGGTCGCGGGTGGGTGTCCTTTCACCTGTCTGGTCCATCAGGTTTTGCAGACTCGCGGTTTGGGTGGAAGGACGAGCAGCCGGGACGCCTGGTCCTGCAGTTTCCAGCGTGATGGATGCGTGCGGGGATGCTGCCAGTTTTACCAGTTTAGCCAAAACAGGATGGAGGGGTCATGCCGTGGGGAGGCCGCGTGCTTTGCACGCCTCTGACCCGGGGTTTACGTCTTGGTCCCATGTACAGTCTCCCAAGCACATCCCGGAGTGATACCTGAGCACCAAGCCAGAAGTAAGCCCTGAGCACTCTGACTGTGACTCAAAATAACAAACCAATGAACGAAGTTGGAAATCAGTTCCATTTCTCTGGTTTGTGATGTTTGTGTTTGGGGCGTCACAGGGCTCACCCCGAGCCGCTCCGGGCCATTCCGTGCCCGGCTGTGCGCAAGCCCTGAGCCGTCTCTCCAGACGTGTGTGTTTTGGTGTTTGGGCCCCACCTGGCCGTGCTCAGGGCTTCCTCCTGGTGGTGAACTCAGGGATCACTCCTGGTAGGGCTCAGTGGACCATCTGGGGTGTCGGGGATGGACCCTGAGTAGGCCACGGGTCAGGACCCGTCTCCGGAACATTCTCAAGAGTATGTTTTGCTGTCTTGGTTGCTCGATCTTCAGACACAGCACCTGCTCTTGTGTTTCTCTGAGCAGCTACTGGAAGGTGGGGGCGAGGGGGCACCCCCATGAGATGAGTTTCTGGTGGGGGTCACCAGGTCCCTGCACGTGGCATCCTCAGTCCACCCCAAGCCCATTCCTCTGCACAGGTCCCCAAAGCACAGGCGCTTGGCTGTAGACAACTGTTCTCCCCCAGCAGAAGCACTCAGTAACGCTTTCAGAACCCGTGGGAAGCGGCCGGGAAAAGTCCCCTCGGGGACGTCTGAGGCGGGCGGCTCTGGACAGACTGGGGGCTGGCCCAGAGCCAGTGGCTTCCCGGGGACCACAGGGATGGCCACCGCCAGGCCAGTGTCCGAGCTGTGGAGGCCGGAGAGGAGAGCAGTGAGGTGACCCGCCTGCAGGCGCAGGGTGGCCCTCGGAGAGTCCTGGAGGGTCACGGTCGGGGTTCGGGGATGGCCAAAGAGTAACACGGGGAGGGAATTGGAGCTGGAGGAGACTCACGGTTTAAAGACTGGGGGGCTGGAGCAGTAGTACAGCAGAGAGGGCGTTTGCCTTGCACTCAGCAAACCCGGGTTCCCCGGTATCCCATAGGGTCCCCTAAGCATCGCAGGAATGATTCCTGAATGCAGAGCCACGACTCACCCCTCAGCATCGCCAGGTGTGACCCAAAGACCCAAAGAAGAAAAAAGACTTTTTTTTTTAACTTGCTTTCACAACCGTCCACACCCGGACACGGGGACACCAGTGTCGTTGGAACAAGGGAGTGGGGACACCGCCACTGGCTCTGCGGTGAATAACTCTGATCAGTTATTCATTTATTGGTGGTGGTGCTCAGGGCTGAGTCCTGGCCCTGTGCTCAGGGACCACATCCGGGCAGGTGTGTGCAAGGCCAACGCCCTGCCCGCTGTGCTGTTCCATCGCTCCATACCTCAGCTAGAGCACGCCTTTCAAAAAAGTTTTTGAGGTTTTTTTGGGGGACCACAACCAGCATAATGGCTGTTTTCTGAAAGAAGTTGGGGGAAAAAGAAAACCCAAACACTTTCTTTGGTCTTTTTCCTAATTCAAGGAAGGTTTGCTTGGCGCTCCATGGCCTAACGCAGCCGTGGTCAGGAGGCCGTGGCGAGTGGGGGCTGGCCTCGGGGCACTGAGGCGAAGCTCCCCTGCAGGGCTGGCGCCCTCCCGGCTCTCCAAAGGGCCTCCTGCCCTTGGCCCCATTCTTCCCTGCGCACAGGAAGTCCAGGTTCTGCGCCAGCTGGCCCCGATGTTTACGGGACTGACCTCCGAGGAGCCCTTCGAAGGCTCTGACATGGCTGTTCCAGGCTTAGGCCTGTGAAAGACGGTCCCCTGCCCCTGGCACTCCCCATCCCTGGCAGTGGACAGGTTGCCCCCATGCTTGTGCTACTTTGGTTCTCTTTGGAGACTCAGGGACCCTCATTGGGGTCACTGGAAATGCCCAGCTCTGACCTCAAGTCCCGTCTGTGCTCGCAAGTAGGCAGGGGTCGCAGAGCGGGACAGTCAGTCGCTCTGGTCAGTCTTATGGTGTCTCAGAGCGGGAGGTCACTCTGTCCGTCCTGTGGCGTCTCAGAGTCCAACCGTGAAGAGCTTCTCCGGGCTGATGTGTGGTGGTTCTCCTGACCTTGGGAGATCACTTCCCTTCTCTCCAGCTGAGCTCTGACAGAATGTTCTGGAGACAGGCTTGCAGCAGTTTTGGGCAGATGATATTTCCAGGATATGACGCCAGGGGCTTGAGAGAATTGACTGGCTTCCAGTTGTCCTGTTAGAGGAGGCTGTTTCCGGGTCGGGGACGGCATGTTTTGTGCCAAATTCTTCGCCGATGACCAGCTGTGAGACAGGAACTTTGCAGCCTCTTCTCAGCCCAGGGCCGCCACCCCAGCCACCTGTCTCTTGTTCTTTTATTCCTTGTCACACTCACAGTGCCCAGGGCCCACGCCTGGCCACGGAGGCTGTGCCAGGGCCTTTGCAGATGGCACTTCAGGACTCGCAGAGACAGTCCTGGGTGACACTGCTACCCCTCGTGCTGCGAGTGACCCCCGAGCACGTGAACCCAGTCCTGCCCCAGACCCGAAAAAAGAAAACCGCGCTCTCGGGCATTATTAGTTGAGGTTTCTCTCTCTCTCTCTCTCTCTCTCTCTCTCTCTCTCTCTCTCTCTCTCTCCTCTCCTTTCTGTTTTGACTTTTTGGTTTTGGGGTCCCTCAGGCTTTGCACTCAGGAATCAGTCTTGGCGGGCTAGGGGGACCATCTTGGGTGCTGAAAATTGAACCCAGGGTGGCTGCACACAAAGCAAGTGCCCTTCCCCCAGTGCTCCAGCCCTATTTGTCAGCATTCCCGTCAGTGTCCAACGCTGTGATTCTGCTTTGCTCTGCGTCCCAGGGGCCAAGCGTGAAGCCAAGGCATAGTGAAGGAGAACTGGAAAATCGAACTCCGCTAAGATATGAGAACAGTCATTTTCCTTTAGCTGGTTTCTGGCTTAATTGTTCTCCAGCGGTGGGGTTGCCACGGCTCCGCTCCCACACCCACGGGGCAGCGACCCCCTCGCTACACCAGGTGGCTGGCCTGGGTCAGAGATTCCCAGGGGTGTGGTCAGCCAGGCCGCCAGTGACAGCGAGTGGGTGTGAACGCCGCTGCCTTGCATGGACACTGAGCAGCAGCGTCTGCTCACGCTGTAGGGGTTGCAGGGGGAAGTGGCACCTTGACCTTTGGGGTTTCTTCCGGAAATCCCTACTCTGAAGCCAGAATGTTCCTTTGCGGGGGTGGGGGCACTGTGCGCAGTCCAGGGTGCCTGACCCGCGTCCCTCCGGCAGGTGGGAGGCGTGAAGGCCGGTGTGGTGCGCTTCCTCGGGGAGACGGACTTCGCCAAGGGGGATTGGTGTGGCGTGGAGCTGGACAAGCCGCTGGGCAAGAACGATGGCGCCGTGGCCGGAACGAGGTGGGTCCTCCTGCCCCCCCACACAGCCTGGGGCAATGCACGGTGCCCGGGAGGCGCTGAGGGGACTGCAGGCCACTTCACTTGGTTCTTAGGTGGGGCCACTTCCGGTGGCACTCGGGGACCCTGCAGGGATGTGGGGACAGCCTGGGGCTCCCACATGCAGCTGTGCTCGGCCCGCAGGAACCCCCCGGGCCTGCTGTCGCCCTTCAGATGCCGGGGAGGCTGCTTGGAATCGCCCCTGGTTTGCACGGTGGGGGTGGGCGGCGTGCGAGGGAGTGTGTGTGTGAATGTTTGAATGTGTGTGCTTCGGAGTGTGGATATGTATGTATGAGGGTGTGTGTATGTGAGCGTGTGAGTGTGGGGCTGTGAGAGTGTTGGTGAGGGCATGAGCATGTGAGTGTTGGTGGGGGTGTGAGCATGTTTGTGAGGGAATGAGAGCGTGTCATTGTTGGTTTGAGAGCGTGCAAGTGTTGGTTGGGGTGTGCGTGTGTGTGACTGTGGGGCTGTGGGAGTGTGGGAGTGTTGGTTGGGGTGTGAGTGTGAGTGTATTTTTGTTGGGGTGTGAGTGTGGGGCTGAGGAAAAGTGGGAGTATTTGTTGGGGTGTGGATATGTATGTATGAGGGGTGTGTATATGAGTGTGTGACTGTGGGACTGTGGGAGTGTTGGTTGGGGTGTGAGTGTGAGTGTGTGTTTTAGGGGGTGTGTTTGTGAGTGTGGGACATTGGGAATGTGGGAGTGTTGGTTGGGGTGTGAGTGTGTGAGTGTGGGACTGTGGAAATGTGGGAGTGTTTGTTGTGGTGTGTGTGTTTGTTGGGGTGGGAGAGTGAGAGTGTGGGAATGTTGGTTGGGTTGTGAGTGTGTGTGCTTCTTGGGGTGAGTGTGGGAGTGTTTGTTGGGGAGTGAGTGTGAGTGACTGGGGCTGTGGACATGTGGGAGTGTTTTTTGGGGTGTGAGTGTGTGTTTTTTGGGGTGGGAGTGTGAGAGTTTGGGAGTGTTGGTTGGGGGCTGAGTGTGTACTTGTTGGGGTCTGAGTGTGTGAGAGTGTTGGTTGGGGTGTAAGTGTGAGTGTGTGTTGGTTGGGGTGTGAGTGGGAGTTTTGGTTGGGGGTGTGAGTGTGTGTGTTTGTTGGGTGAGAGTGTTTGTGAGTGTGGTGCTGTGGGAGGGTATGATGTTTGTTGGGGAGTGAGTATGTGTGAGTGTGGGGCTGTAGAAATGTGGGAGTCTTTGTTGTGGTGTGTGTGTTTGTTGGGGTGGGAGTGTGAGAGTGTGGGAATGTTGGTTGGGTTGTGAGTGTGTGTGTTTCTTGGGGTGAGTGTGGGAGTGTTTGTTGGGATGTGAGTGTGTGTTTGTTGGGGAGTGAGTGTGTGTTTGTTGGGGTGTGAGTGTGTGGGAGTGTTGGTTGGGGTATGAGTGTGAGTTTGTGTTGGTTGGGGTGTGAGTGTGTGTTTGTTGGGTGAGAGTGTGTGGGGGGGGCTGTGTGAGGGTATGATGTTTGTTGGGGAGTGAGTGTGTGTGAGTGTGGGGCTGTGGAAATGTGGGAGTGTTGGTTGGGGTGTGAGTGTGTTTGTTGGGGTGAGTGGGAGTGTGAGAGTCTGGGACTGTTGGTTGGGGTGTGAGAGTGTGGGAGTGTTTGTTGGGGTGTGAGTGTGTGGGAGGGTGGGGCTGTGGGAGCGTGTTAGTCTGTGGGCGTGTGAGACTGTGGGACTCAGTGGACGCCTCGGTCGGCGCCTGTCTCTCTTGCCAAAGGGGTCTTTTGTCCCCCCTCCTCGTTGTCGCAGGTACTTCCAGTGTCAGCCCAAGTACGGCTTGTTTGCTCCCATTCACAAAGTCACCAAGATCGGCTTCCCCTCCACGACGCCGGCCAAGGCCAAGGCGGCCCCCGGGAGGCGTGTGATGGCCACCACCCCCGCCAGCCTGAAGCGCCGCCCGTCGGCCTCCTCGCTCAGCTCCGTGAGCTCCGTGGCCTCATCCGTGAGCAGCAGGCTCAGCCGCGTGGGACTAGTAAGAAGCTCCCCCCACCCCGCGCGGTGCTCGGGCCCCCACAGACTCCCACGGCCCCAGGGACGAGAGGCGGAGCAGGACCGGGTGGGCTGAGCAGCTCCGGGGGGGCAGGTGAGTGGCTTCCCAGCCACCACCGGTGACAGGAGCAGGGATGGGCCTTTCCTCGGGTGCTCAGGGCTCAGGCCGCCTTAGGGATGAAGTGGGGGAGCTAAAAGGGGCGTCGGAGGGTCAGAGCGGGAACCAGAGACTCTGGGGAACGCTTGGCGCTTGGCGTTGCCTGTTTGCTCCCTCCGTCCCTCCCTGCTCCCTCCTGTCCCTCTGCACCCCTGTTGACACAGAAGGGCCTTGAGTTCTGTTCATTGCGGGGCCACAAGTCAAAGCTGGGGCCTCGTGGCTTCTCCCCTCACGTCTCTCTGAGTCCTAAACACTAAAGTGTGTCCGAATATGCAAGGGTGTCCTGAGATATTGTCCACAGGGAAACGGGCCCACGATGGAGATGTGTCCCGGGGGGCTGGCTTTGCTGGGGGCTGCGCTTCCTGCCGCCCCCTCTGCTCCGTGCATTGACCCTCGATGCGGAAGAGGAGGGAGTGAGTGTGTGTGCAACGGAAGATACAAAACAGATGACGCGCGAACGGGAGCCAGGAGGCCACGCGCCGTGGGCACAGGCCTGGGGCCAGTCCTGTCTTGCTCGACCACCACCAGGTTTCCCTGCCCTGCCTCCATCCTCACGTCCGACTCCTCCTTCCCCTCGACTCGCCATTCAGGAGGGGAGCAGACTCAGAAGCCCCTCTCCTTCCCTCGCGAGCCAGCCCGTTTGTGGAATTGGGTTTTTTTTTCTGCTTGACTGTGGGCCACACCCTGCAGTGCTTCAAGGGGCCGTTTGCAGTGCTGGGGTTGAGCCGGGGCCTCCCACATCCGAGCAAGAGCCCCACGCCTGAGCCGTATCTCCAGCCTCCCCCCGCTGTCTTGTTTTGTTCTGTTCTGGGGTCAAACCTGGCAGAGCCCAGGGCTTTCTCTCGCTTCTGTGCGCGGGATTATTCCTGGCGGGCCTCCGGGATTGAGCCTGGGCAGCGCTGGGGCTTCGATTTCCAGCTCTTTGGCCCCTGCCTTGCATATCTTTACGCAGGGCGGAGCTCACTCCTACACTGCACATCACCGTTAGCACATATGACAGGAATATAGAATGAGTCTGTGTGACTTCATGGAAGTATACCTCCACAACGTAATTCCATACGTGCACACACAAGCGTTCACACACACACAGGCACTCATACATGTACACGTAGTGCATACCGTATATACACAGGCTTATGGGTGTATACACACAGGCACGTACATGCATAGACACAATGCGCGTGTGCACACAGGTGTGTGTAGACATGCCCAGAGGAACGTACGTGCATGCATACATACATGCACACAGGTCCGGGCGAGCCCTGTGGGAGCCTCCCGGTTCGCTTGTTGGCTGAGTTGCTCTCTGAGGTACCAGGCTCCCACAGAGGGGCTGGCCTTGCTGGCATGGAGCCTGGGGCCTCACACACCACGCACAGGGCAGAGGCTTTGGCATCAACATCCTGAGTTCAGTTCGTGGCCCCCACCTTGCCCAGCCCCTCAGCGCCCGCCTCCCCCCATGCCAGGGGTGCTGCTTTCTCTCTGCTCCGGCGACTGAACTCGCAGTCTCGTTCGTCTCCACGGTTGGCTGAAAGAAGCCGTTCGCTCCCGGGCTGGTTTCCTCAGGGAGCTGTCTCGGGCCCAGGAAGCGCGTGCGTGCCCCACCGCTCAGGCCAGGAGGCTCAGGGAACACCGCCGCCCGCCTTTCCTAGTTTTTATTTTTGCTCTTTGGTTTTGGGGCTCACCTGGCAGTGCTCAGGGACTCCAGGCGTGGTGCTTGGGGGCTGCTTCTGGTGGAGGGGGTTTGAGCCCAGGTCTTGGTGGAGACCCCCAAGGCTGTCAAGCTCTTCCCAGCCACCCTTTGAAATCAGAGTTGAGTGCACTTCCCGGCAGCACTGCACATGGCTGGGCCCGAGAGCTCGTGTGCTCCTAGAAATTTTATTTCTTTATTATTTGGTTTTGGGGCCACACTCAGGGGTGCTCAGGGCTTATTCCTGGCTCTCTGCAGGGGGGTGGTGTCACTCCTGACGTTGCTGGATCTTGAACCTCTGAAAGTACCTTCCCCCACCCCCCCCCCCCACCCCACAATAGACTCTTTGGCCCTGGGGAGAGCATTTAGTAAGTAAAGTAAGTAAAGGCCCTCCTGTTGATCGTCGATTTGCTCTAGTGGCCCCAGTAACGTCTCCATTGGAAACTTTATTGTTACTGTGTCTGGCATATCGAATACTCTCGGTAGCTTGCCGGGCTTTTAATCTGACCAATATACTTTAAGTGTATTGGGAAGTCACGGCCAGATCCTTACGCAGAGGCAAGGATGAGCTGCTCCCCGGACAGAACCAGGTAGCTCGAGAGCTCCCAGCAGGCAAAGCAGCAGTGGACAGCCTGGGCCCTGCTGGGCCCGTCAGTCAGCAGGCAATTGGCAGCAGCTCAGATGATGCAGGGAAGCGGCAAGAGCAGGGCGATGGGTCAGGCGTGGCCAGGCAGAAGGAGCGGACGTCCTCGGCCACCCCCGCCCCAGCGCCCACCACCGTGTGCCTGAAGAATGAAGACCAGGTCCCGCTGTGTCCCCGCCTGCAGGGGCCGTTGTGCCGCAAGGAAACTGGGTCTGCAGAGCGACCATGAGCGACCACGAGCCCAGGGCAGAACGGACAGGACCCCCGGTCCCCGCGGCCCTCCAGCCCACCCCCTCCCCTCCTCGCTGTCTTTGCCTCTTCTCTCCTTCCCTTTGTGCTTGGTCTTCCCCTGAGCTGCCCTTGCTGTCCTGCTCGCTGGGCGTGAGCCCTCACACATGCTCACCCACCACTTGTTCCTTTTTTTCCTGGATTTTGGGCCACACCCCAGCAATGCTCAGGACTTCCTCCGGGCTCTGCACTCAGGACTCACTCCTGGTGGGCTCGGGACCCTATGAGGTGGGTACCTGGGATCCAGCTGGGGCAGCGGCGTGCAAGGCCAGCGCCTTCCCCACAACTTTACCATTCTAGCCTCTCATCCCCCACTTTCGAAGGCAGATGGCACAGGGGTCTTTTATGGGGTCACACCTAATGACCCTCAGGGGCACGGGGCCATTCCCAGAGACAAGAGTCTCTGGTTAGTGCTATTCAGGCCTGGGGCGGGTGCTGGGGAGAGCGAGGTGAGCTGGAAGGAAGAGGAAGAGAGAAGGGCTAGGCTGCCCTGGGAGACCCAGACGGACGTACAAGGCTGAAGATGCTGGAGCCGGCCTCAAGCTCATGCCAAGGGCTCAGCCTTAAGGAAGCTCAAGCCAGAGTGGGCTGTGGAGGGGGCTGCCTCCGGCTCTCCAGAAGAGTCTCTGGATTCCCACGAAGCCCGTCAGTGGAGCTCAGGTCCTGTCCAAGGATCTTCGGGAAGGTTTCAAGATGCTTCTGCTAAGAGTCGCTGGCCCATATGCACGGATGCAGCGCTGCTCCATCTGCTTTGCTGAGGATAGCCGTGTGCATGCCCACGTCCGCCACCCCCACCCCCTTCACGTCTCTTTTTCCTTTGCAGTTGCCAGAAACCTCCTCTCGCTATGCCTGCAAGATCTCCAGCACCACCGCCCTCCAAGAGGCACTGAAGGAGAAGCAGCAGCACATTCAGCAGCTGCTGGCCCAGCGGGACCTGGAGAGGGTGGAGGTGGCCAAGGCCACGAGCCATGTGGGGGTGATAGAGCAGGAGCTGGCCCTGGCCGGGACGGGCACGACCAGGTGACGTCTGTGCAGACGACAGTGCCGGGGCCAAGAGACGCTTGCGGCAAATGCTGGGCGCGACCTTGGTGCAGGCAGTGCAGGGAGAGGCCGTGGGTCCCCGTCTGCCGTCGTTGCCGTGGCATCCGGCGCGTGGTTTGATCACATGCCCCTTATCCTCACCCCGTGGGGGTTCTGGGAGCGCCAAGTTGTCCCCGCTGGTGCTTTCGTGGTGTGGTTCCCTTCCGGCCTTCCAGAAACGCTGCAGCTTATGTGGGAGACGCGTTCAGTGTGCCGCGGTGGCAGGTGGCGGTGCCAGCCCACAGAGGGCTGTCGGGGGCGGGCGAGGACACTCACGCGCAGTTGCCTCCTCCACAGCACGTCCTGGAGCTAGGGGCCAAGATGGACAAGCAGCGGGCCATGCTGGAAGCGAGCGACCGGGAGAAGGTGGAGCTGCTGAACCAGCTGGAGGAGGAGAAGAGGTGAGGCCGTGCCCCAAGCTGGGGAACTGCCTCGGACGGGGCGCGCCGGCCTTCCAGGGCTGTGAGAACCAGAAACCACCGGGTGCCCAGTCCTGAGCGTGGCCTCATGGGGAGGAATGGGGGGAGCTCACTGGAGCCCAGGCACCCCCGGCCCTCACTGCTGTGTCCACGTGGCCTGGTGTTCCGGAGACATGTGCTGGGTGGCTGGCAACTGTCGTATCCCAGTGGGGCCCTGTGGGAGTCCCTGGGGTTAATCCTGGGCGGGAGGAAACCCGCAGCACCCATGGGGCACGGCAGCAGACAGGCAGGGCGCAGGCCAGGCTGCAGACAGACGGACACGGGGTGCCAGCCAAGACGGTCTTCTCAGATGGGCTCCCGGCAGTGTGGTGCCCAGGGGCACTGCCAGTACCCAGCTCAGCTCCTCAGCTGCACATGCCGAACACTCCACGTCCCCTGGGAGCCCCTCCTGCCCCCCCCCCCCAGCCCCGAGTCGTTTGCTGCTTCTCCCCCAGGGGCTCCGTTGTTGTCCCGATGTGGGGACAGGAGCTGGCTGACAGGAACTAGTATGCGCCCCGGGTCAGTCTTTAATGACCTCTGTTAGCTGCGAGGCAGAAAAGGCTGATATGACACTGCGCCTGGCGTTGGCTCGAAAGAGCTTCCTCCTGTAGCCTGCGGGTCCCACCCAGTGCTCGCAGCCGAGGGGACTCACCGACTTTCTTTTTTTTCTTTTTGGGTCAACCCAGCGATGCTCTGGGGTTACTCCTGCCTCGGCACTCAGGAATTACTCCTGGCATTGCCCAAGGGACCATAATGGGATGCTGGGAATTGAACCCGGGTCGGCCACGTGCAAGACAAACGCCCTGCCCGCTGTACTCTCTCTCTGGCCCTCGCTGACTCTCTCAGCCCTCCTGTGTGTGGAGCCGGGGGCTGGGTCGGGCGCGCATCTACAGGGTGGTGGCCCTCATGGGGGGCAGCAGTGACGCCCCTCACAACTCTCCCTCTCCCCAACAGGAAAGTGGAGGACCTCCAGTTCCGAGTCGAAGAGGAGTCCATCACCAAAGGCGACCTGGAGGTAAAGCCCGGGCAGGTCCCAGAGGCTTGCAGGGTGCAGGCAAGGATGCGGGGTGGCCTGGCCGACCCCGCCGGGACCACTTCTGCTGGAGACTCCGAATCAGACAGGGATACCTGGGGTCATGCACCTGGCAGGGCCCGGCTGAGGCACCTCTGCTCCTTGGGGCTGGAGGCTGCTGTTGATGAGCGTTTTTCTCTCGTTCTGACAGTTGGGTCTACGCCTTTGCCTCAGCTTTGATTTTCAGTCGAGCAGCACAAATCAAATCCTTTAGAACCCCAGTTTTTTGAAGGTATTCCTTAAAACAAGAAGAAGCAAACAGTTTGCAAAAGAATAATTTCTGTTTCTGCTTCTTTTTCTTCCTGTTTTAAGCTCATGGAAATTTTGTTTTCCCACCAGAAGGAGGTGAAGGCCCTGCAGTCGGCCTCCGAGAAGCTCGCCAAGGAGAACGAGAGGCTGAGGACCAAGCTGGACCATGCCAACAAGGAGAACGCGGACGTGATCGCCCTGTGGAAGTCCAAGCTGGACACGGCCATCGCCCCGCACCAACAGGCCATGGGCGAGCCGAAGGCGGCCGTGAGCCGGGGCGTGGGCGCTGAGGCGGCCGAGCTGGCCGAGCTCAAGATGCAGATGGAGAGGCTACAGTTCGAGTCCCAGCAGGAGGTAGAGAGCCTGAAGGCCCAGCTGGCGGCTGAGCGTGCAGCGCACGCCTTTGAGCTGCAGACGCTCAGGTCGCGGCTGGTCAAGATGGCCCAGGAGCAGAAGAACAGCCTGGAGGCCGCGCGGGCCAAGCTCGACCAGACCAAGGACCAGCACCTGGTGGAGATGGAGGACGCCCTGAACAAGCTGCAGGAGGCGGAGACGAAGGTAAAGCACCTGGAGGGGTTGCGGGCCATGTGTAGTCAGCAAGCCCAGGCCCTGGCCGACGCCACGGCGCAGCGGGAGGCCACCCAGCAGAAGCTCTTGCAGTTCGATGGGCTCTGGAAGGCCAGTTCCGAGGTAAATTGGAAATGGAGAAGCTCAGGCAGCAGCTCCAGGTGGCTGAGCGGCAGATTCAGGAGTTAGAGAATGCAAAGCGGGCCGAGAGCGGCAGGTTGGTACCCGGGCGCCCTCGCCCACTTCCACGGTCGCTCCCTGCATGCTGTGTCTCTGTGTACTTGCCGCCGTGTTCCGGCTTTGTGCTGACAGGTCTCCCGGTCACGTCCCGTGCGGTTCCCTCTGATGGAACTGAGAACGTGTCGGCATGATTCTGGGGCAGTCATTGGTCCCCAGCACCCGGATGCCATGCTAGCCTAGGCCCTGGCTAATCGGGCCCGTCTGGGGTCTTTCTGAAACAGAGAACTCTTCACAAGGCCAGTGAGAAAACAAGATAGGAGCCCCCAAAGCAAACCTCGGCCCCCCCGCCTTGGGCCCCCTGCGTACTCGCCGAGTCCGCCCAGACCCTTGGGCTCGAGGCTGGCCGCAGGGGTCTTTCCCTGACCTTGCTGACCACCTGCTCGTGTGACTGCTTTGCTGTCCTCTCCCCGAGGCGCCTCAGTTTCCAGCTGGTGCTCAATGCCTCTGAACCTCTGAGCTCCCTCAGGGCTGGTGACGTGGCCCATCTTGGTATTTCTCATTGCCGACCCCTCCCTGCCTGCAGCACAAGCCCCAGCCCAGCCCTGCAGAGATTTCAGCCCTTTCAGCCTCTAAGGGGTGCTTGGGCCAAGTCCGTCTTCCAGCATGGCCTCCTGCTGGCCACTGGCATGGACTCTCACGGTAGCCCTGACCCTGGGGAAGGACAAAACAGTGAGATCTGGGCCAAGCCGAGGAAGCTGCAGTTCTCACCAGGGGCCCCGAGAAATGCCCTTTTCCTCCTATAGGATTGTGGTGGCAGAGACGCGCCCTCCCAGCCGCCCCCCTCCCACCCCCCTGGCGCTGTGCGCTTTGTTGGAGAAACTTCTCTGTTGGCCAAGTTGGAAGGGCTGTGGGATTTGTAGACAGGACTGACAGACATAACAGAAGGACCCAGAGACCCCCGGGAGTTCCTCTCAGGACTCAGGACTCCTTAGCTGGCATTCCAGAAACAAATGGAATCAATTCCTAGGACACAGCAGGGGATAGTTGACCCACTTGTTCGCATCAAGATGTAACAAACATCAAGTTCTGGTGACTGCTGTCTAGTGGATTAGAGGTTCTTCAATTTAAATTTCATATTGAAACCCCTCAGACTTTTAAAGTCACAGACAAGAAACTACAAGAAAGTAAATCTTGGGGGCCAGAGTGATAGTACAGTGGGAAGGGCATTTGCCTTGCACATGGCCTACGTGAGTTCGAGCTCCAGGATCCCATAGGGTCACTGTCATTGTCACTGTCCTCCCGTTGTTCATCTATTAGCTCAAGCGGGCCAAAAAAAAAAAAAAAGATAACCTGTTCTTCCCTCCTTCCCCTCCCTTTCCCTTTCTTCCCTGTTTCCTCCCTCCCTCCTTCGTATCCTTAGCCTCCCTCCTCCCTTGCTTACGTCCTTCTTCCTCGCCAAGCCATGCTCTCGGCTCTGGGGTCCTCCCGCCCAGCAGTAGTGGGTCTTTTCAGCTTGTGGACCGATCTCAGGCTCGCCCAGTGGTGCTGCAGTTCCAACTCGGGCCTGGTGTGTACTCCAGCCCTTTGTGCCGTCTCCCTGCCCCTGGAAAGTCAATCTTTCTCATAGGCTTTCTTATTTTCTGGTCGCTCCAAATTTAGGTCTAGAAAATGCCTGTGTTTGAGCCGTTTTCCGTAACCACTAGACAGTCATCACCAGAACTGATGGCGCCAAGGCCTTGGCTTCGAGAGCTTCAGGCAATCGCGCTCACCTCACGCCTCTGTTCTTTGGGGTTGTGTTGGGTCATGGGCTTCTCATACGTGTTTTCTGTTTTGTTTTCCCCTTCCTGTTTCTGTTCGTCCCCTTGGTCCATTCACTCCATCCTTGTGACTCTGGTAGGCCGATAGCCTGGCCAAGGAGCTGCAGGGGAAGGAGCTAGCGCTTTGTCGTCTTCAGGAGAACTTGAACGAAGCCGGCCGAGTGAAGGAGGCTTTGGAGAAAGAGCTTCGGACTTTGGTGAGTACCAGGGGAGTCGGACGCTGATCTTCACCTTGCTGAGGGCAAAGCGAAGCCTCCTCAGGCGAGCTCGGCCCTATCGCCTCTGAGGCTCACGAGCGTGTCAGCTAGAAAGCCCCAGGGGCTGCACGAGCCCCCGTTGGGGCAGCAAAGGTAGGTGCGCTGCTCTGTCCGCGCTGTGCCCTCCGCCTCTGCCTGATCAGTGAGTGGCCAGCGATGCTCCCGGAGTGCCGGGCTCCTTCCTCCCCTCAGCAGCACCTCAGGCTCCTCTCCTGTGCCCCCTGCCCCCTCGGCTCTGTCTCCCCTGCCAGCCAGGAGCACTGGGGGCTCACAGCAAGGGGAGGGGGTGAGAGACATGTGCTGGTAAGGCCGGTTTTCTGGAACCTTCCAGACACCTTCCTGCACTGGATCAAAGTGTGTTTTCTGGTTTTCTTTTTAGGATTTGTGTGTGTGTGTGTGTGTGTGTGTGTGTTTGTTTGTGTCTTGGGCTTTTTAGTATTCAGCTGTGCTGAAACCTTCACCTGGTGGCCCTCAGGGGACCACGTGGAATGCTGGGTATTGAACCTGGGTTGGGCACATACAAAGCAAAACACCTAAAGTATCTGGTTGTTTTTGTTTTTGTTTTCTTTTTTGGCTTTTTGGGTCACACCTGGTGATGCTCAGAGGTTACTCCTAGCTCTGCACTCAGGAATTTCTCCTGGTGGAGCTTGGGGGACTACATGGGATTCCGGGGATTGAACCTGGGTCAGCCACGTGCAAGGTAAACGCCCTCCCCACTGTCCCATCACTCCGGCGCTGGACCTTGATGAACTGGGCCTTTCCATTGAGACAGTACTGACGGGGTCCCGTCAGGACCCGAAACTGAGCCCTGAAGGAGTCATTCAAAACCCTGCGGGAGGTTTCCAACGGAATCGTCCTTGCCGGGGCAGCATGGGCCCAGCACACGCAGCATCACAGTCTATCTGTGTATGCTCGAGAACATGTGTACACACGCGTGTCCACAGCCATGCACACACCCCAGTATACACACATGGGCTTCTGTCATGTGCAGACTCATACGTGTCCTTGGACATGCAAGCAAATACATACATACTTGCACAACTCACTCGTGTTTGCCAGGCAGATACACACTGGGCATTGACAGCTGAGTTTGGGGTGGATTATTTTTGTTTTCTGGGTTTTTTGTTCTTGTTGTTCTTGTTGTTTTTTGTCTTTTTGGGTCACAGCTGGGGACATTCAGGGGTCAATCCTGGCTCTGCACTCAGGAATTACTACTGATGGTGCATCCCCTATGGGATGCTGGGGATCAAAGGCGGGTCAGCCTTGTGCAAGACAAACACCCTCCCCGCTGGGCTATTGCTCTGCCCCTGGGGTGTGTGTGTATATATATATATATATATATATATATTTTTTTTTTTGGTGGTGGTGGTGGGGGACTAGTGCCATGCCTGTCAGTCCTTGGAGGCGACTCCTGGCTTTGTGCTCAGGATATTCCTGTTAGTGCCGGGATTCAGACCGGGGCCAAGTGGCGTTACTCAGTGCTTTCTCTCTCCCAGCCCCCAGATGATCACCATGTTTATTGGGGCTCCCCCCAAACTCGGTGGTACTCCTGGCTCAGGGTCTAACCGTCTGGCTGTTCTCGGGCACCTGGACCCTGTGCCAGCCCTTCAGCCCCAATATCTATGTTCTAAGTGCAAGTTCATTTTCATGAACATTGTGTGTGTGTGCTGTTGAGCAGAGCAGAGTCGCCATGTGTGTGCGGGTATGTTTGTTTGTGTGCGTTGTGTGTGTGTGTGTGTGTGTGTGTGTGTGCGCGCGCACATGTGTGCGCGTGTGTGCTGGAGGCTGGCAGGGGGCCTGTGGCTGATGATGGCCCCCGGCTCCCGCAGGGGGAGAAGGTGGACGTGAGCTGCAGCCAGTCCCAGGCTCTGCAGGCCGAGCACGCCAAGTCCACCACGGAGAGCCAGGCGCAGCACGAGGAGGCGCTGCAGGCCCTGCAGAAGCTGCTGCTGCAGGCGGAGAAGCTGCAGGCGGTGCAGGCGGAGAACGGGAGCCTGCTGCGGGAGGTGGCCGAGCTGAAGACGCAAGCCGACGAGGCCAAGGTGTGTGGGCGCAGGGCCGCCGTCTCGGGGTCGGGCTCTGTTGGGGGCCTCGGCCTGCAGCCTCAGACACTTCCTCTGCCCGTCGGCGCCTGTGAGAGCCGGAAGGGGGTTGCTCCCGGGGCGCCCGGCAGAGCACATAGAAGCCCAGGGACCCCAGCTTGGGTTGTCCGTTTTGTTTTTAGCTTGCTCAGTAAGTTCAGGCCTTCGTGTTTTCACTTGATTGCTCAAAGGCATTTTTTCATGTATCAAAGAAATGTTAAGGTTCGAAGCTCAGTGGGGAGAAATAAAGGGGCTGGAACTAGTGCAGTGAGAGGGCACTTGCTGTGCACGTGACCTACAGGGGGATCCCCAGCATCCCCCAGGGTCCCCCAAGCACCCAGGAGGAAGCCGTGACCTCTGCCGGGTGTGAACCCCAAAACAAGAAGGAAAATAATGTACACACACATGTATGTGTGTACATACATAACATGTACATATGTGTACATCTTTATATCCATATAATAAGTGTATTTTAATTCATATGTACATATTTTGATACATTTTTGGTTTTACACGCTTGGTCCCATGTATAGTTTATACATATATGTGCTTGTATGTATATGTGTGTGTATACATACCTATAAGCCAATGCAAAGAAAACGGAAGCGAGCTTACATCAGAGGAAACCAGGGCTGCTGAGTGGCGGCCATGGCCCGCGTGTGTGTTGGTGCCCGGCCTCTTTCCACCACGCACCAGAGCCAGGGCTACGTCTCCTCTCTGGACCACCTGCACGGCCCAGTTCTGTGGCCAGCAGCCTCGTGTGCATGCTCAGGTCAGTCCCATTCCGGTAACCTGACCGTCAGCGGTCAGCTGCCCAGCGCACGCCAGTAGCCTGCTGCGGCTCATGGCTGCTGAGCTGGACAGAGAAGATAGCCCTTGCTGCAGAAAGTTCTGGAAAGTACATGGCGGTTAAACTATGGTGTGCATTGAGACTCAGAAACGAAGACGCACAACCCGTTGCTGACGGGCAGGGAGAGCAGGTGAGGGAGACCCTGGCCCGTGTGCGGCCACTCCTCCTGGAGCCCCTGGGCCCCTCCCAAATTACTGCAAACACTGCCTCCCATTGCTCATCGATTTGCTCGAGCGGGCCCACTAATGTCTCCATTTTGAGACTTGTTGTTACTGTGTTTGGCAAGCAAAACCTGTTGGCTTCAGTCTCCAAAGCTGGTGGATTAGTCTGGATTTTCTATAAAGTGTAAAACTTTTGGGACTAAGTCCATTTCCTGCCTCTGTTTGTCCCTGTGAAAATCGTTTGGCAAGCAGTGGTTGCTTTTCCCTTCCCCTCCTGCACAAAGTTCAAAAACAAAATACTTTTTGTAGTTCTTTGAATTGTACTGAAAACTAGTTTTTTAATGCATCCCTTCTATGACAGAGTGATGGATTTTATAATAGAAGAATTGAAGTGGGGGGAAAAAATCTTATGCCCCAATGTCAAGATCCAACTGTCCAAACTTCCGGGGAGCTGTCAGGAATAATTTCAGATGGCATTTCAAAAATAAAATTGGCTGATAGTAGAATGGGTAGGGTGCAGCCTTGTACTCGGCCAACCCAGGGTTGATCCCCAGCATCCCGTCTGGTCCTCCAGCCCTGCCAGCAGTGATCCCTGAGCACAGAACACTGAGCGAGACCCGAACACCACCAGGTGTGGGGCCCCCATCCACAAAATAGGCAGGTAGTTATGTTGACCCTAAGAAGCTAACTGTGTTAGAGCCTCTCCATCCTGCGTGTGTGTGTGCGTGTGTGAGTGTGTGCGCGCGCGTATACACGCGTGTGCAGGTAAGACTACTCTGCCATTTTCATTTCTGGTGTTTAGGCCACATTAAGTGCTTGGCTTGCTTGTGCCTGCTTGATCTCATTCTTGTTTCCATTCTTCCCCGCTTTTGTTTCTGTAGTCATTAACTTACCCAATAACATCAGAGGAAATTGAGCTGATGTCGAAGGATCGCAGGGCCCTGAGGTCAGAGAATCAATTGCTGGCGAAGGAGAAGCTCTCTCTGAAGTCAGAGAGAGGGTCACTGCTACTGAAGCAAACAGAAGCCGAGGCCAAAAACTCTTCGCTGCGGGAAGAGCAGAGGAAACTCTGGCTGTTGAGCCAAGCGATTCAATTAGAAAAAGAGAAGGTCATCGAGGCCAGGCGGGCCGCAGAGAAGCTCTGGCAGGAGGAGCGGCTCCGCCAAGAAGCCCTCGAGGCGGAGAAAGAGAAAGTGCTGGAATTGGGCAGGGCGGTGCAGGAGGAGCTCCAGAGGGTGCGCACAGAGAACGAAGCACTGCAGGTCACTGCAGGTCGCCACGGTGGGGCTGCAGGGCCTGGTGGAGGAGCTGCAGATGAGCAAGAGCGGCCTGGTGGCCGAGTGTAAGAAGGGCCTGGAGGAGAGGGGCCAGCTGGAGGAGCATGTCAAGAAACTGGTTCTGGAGAAATTCAACGTTAATACTTTTGGATTTTCTTATCACAAAAAAATTAAATGAAGGACCTCAACCATCAGAAGTTTATCATCCAGTTTGAATCTATTTTTGTTCACTTGAATGTCTTCTAGTTCTGTCAAAAGTGATAAATAATGTACCATCCAGGCTACATGTATAATAAGAACTTCTATAATTATATCTATGATTTTGATGTATTTTCCTCTGGAGATTATCAACTGTCTGACAAGTGAAAGATCTGTATCAATTGAAATTTTTAGTAATAACCATTATTGAATTTGTTTCACAAACTATATAAAGCAGTATTAAAACTTGAGCAAACAAGTGTCCTATATCTACTTTAATAAAATTATTTCTTTTTTGCCAGTGATAGCTGATTATTCTCAGGTTTTTTTAGAAAAGATTTTTGGCTAGCAATGAAGAACTATAGAGTCAAATGAGTCAAACAGTTTCTACAATGGAATTCTGATACACCAATTTCTTTTTGTTTCTTTATGTTTGTGTCACCCCTGGTGATGTCTTAGGGCTTATTTATGGCTCTGCACTCAGGAATCACTCCTGGCAGTGCTTGGGCAAACTATAGGGAATGTCAGGGATTGAAGCCAGATTGGCCACCTGCAAAGCAAATGCCTTACCAGCTGCACTATTGCTCTGGACCTGTAAACCATTTTCTTAAAAGTGTTTATCTTGAGCTAAAGAGATAGTGCAGTGAGTAGGGTACTTGCATGTGGCCGATCTGGGTTTAATCGCAGGAATCCCATCCAGTCATCTGTGCCCTGGCAGGAGCAATCTCTAAGTGCAGAGGCAGGAGTAAACCCTAAGAAGCACTGGGTTGGGAGTATGGTGCCACCAGCAGGTCAATCTGTACCTGTGAGTCGAGTGCATCAGCAGCCTGATGGCGCCTTCAGACGTCCAGGTACCCCCAAATTGCTGCCGTGCGTTTGGCCAGACCCCAAAAAGTTGGGGCAGAGTTGACCAAGAAAGTAAACAGGCAAAAGTTAGGTATGTGGGAGATACACCCACAACACCTCCAGTTCAGCTATATAATTAGAGGCATGTCCTCTCTGGTCCCTGATTGAACTGCCTAACGGCCATGATCCCAGAGACTCAGAGACAAATCTCGAAACCCAATGGTTTTTGGCAGAGATGTGTCCAGTCCCTGCAGTAGGTTAGAGGCGCTGGGCCACCCCAGGTGGGAATAGATTCCGTGCCTTGGCCTGTTCTCCCTGGCAGCCCGCTGGCCGCCATCCTCCAGAGGCCACAATCAGGTTTGGGCCAACAGTGACGAGACACGTAGGGCCTCACGGGATGGGGGTGGAGCTGGCCCTTTCCTCCCCAACGAGACCCCCAAGTCGTCACCCACAAACAGCCGCTCTGGCTTCTGATTGAGCTGTTTAACGGCCATGATCTCAGAGACTCAGAAACAAATCTCGAAACTCAGCAACTTTTGGCAGAAATGCATCCAGCTCGCACAATAGGTTACTGTTGCCGGGCCACCCCGGGGGGGAAAGGGTGCTGTCCCTCCACCTGCTCCCCCTTAGGGGCTCAGTGGCCACCATCCGCCAGAGGTCATTGGACAGTCAGGTTTGGGCCCACAGTGATGACATATGTGGGGCCTAATGGGATGGGGGTGGAGCCAGCATTTTCCTCCCCGTCTCAATGTGACCCCAAGTCGCCGCCCATGAACGGCCTCTCTGGCTCCTGATTAAGGTGCTTAATGACTATGATCCCAGAGACTCAGACACAAATCTCGGAATCCAGTGGCTTTTGGCAGAAATGCATCTGAACCCTGCAGTAGGTTACTGTCGCTGGGCCATTCCAGGGAGGAAAGGGTGCTGTCCCTCCACCTGCTCCCCCTTGGTGGCTCTGTGGCCGCCATCCTCCAGAAGTCATTGGACAGTCAGGTTTGGGCCCTCAGTGATGAGACATGTGGGGCCTCACGGGATGGGGGTGGGACCAGCCCTTCCCTCCCCATCCCAGCAAGACCCCTAGTCACCGCCCACTAACGGCCTTTCTGGCTCCCGATCAATCTGCTTACCGGCCATGATCCCACAGACTTAGGAACAAATCTTGGAACCCAGCAGGTTTTGGCAAGAAATCCCTCCAGATTTAATTGTTAAAATTTTGGAATTTCAAAATCGTGCAGCCACTACTACAACCACGCGACATCATATGTTATTTACAACCAGGAATAGAAAACAAATTGTCTACTGTTGCCTTTTCAGCAGCTCTGAGTGTTGGGGTAAAATCCCAAATAATAGTGGTGTGTCCAGTGTCAAAATATTGAATGTAATCAAAGTAGAGAGAGCGTAATGTGAAAATCATCTCTCCACAGGTAGGGGGAGGGTGTGGGATGGGGGTATCCTGGGGGTTTTGGTGGTGGAGAATGGCACTGGTGAAGGTACGGGTCTTTCATTTTATAACCAAGATTTAAACCCGAAAGCTTTGTAACTGCTCTCATGGTGATTCAATAAATAAAATTATAAAAGATGAAAAAAATAGAACCACTGGGTGAGGTTTAAAGGCAAAAAACCCAAAACAAATAAAACCTCTATTGCATTATTGCAAAGATTCATGACCAATGTAGCCTAAAATGAATACCTTCAGTGATTCTCCATAGTTATTTGACAAGACGAAAATAAAGGGACACCATGCAGTACAGACACCATCAATCCATAAAGTCTGGGAAAGAAACTGGAAGTTGCTATATTATTAACCCAAAATTAACAGAACCAAAGATGCTTATAAGCACCAACTCCTTTACGTTTGAAGCACATGTGTCCTCAGGTTGATTTTTCTGGAAAAAGAACTTTAGCAAGAACGTTACTTTTAGCCTACATAATTGAATACCTGAAAGATAGCTCCATGACAATTGGGCCCTAGAAAAGCAAGTCCCAGCCCATATCCTGCCCTGCAGCTGCGTCCTGTTGATAGCACCAAGGACCCCCATCTTCTTCTTGTTGCCCCTGGAATTCACCAAATAAGGTCATGCGGCCAGAGAAGGCCTGATTGGCTGCCTGCGTGTAGCATCTAATGTGATCATTCGAAGGTATTGGGTGATTTGTGCGCTGGCTTTTCTGAGACGGCGGGAAGTTGCCCTATAAAAAGTTCCCTCTGAAGAGGCTTGGGGCTCTCAGCCACAGACGGTTTGCGGTCATGCTGTGAGCCCGAGCATGCTCGAATAAACCTCTTGCTTTTGCATGGACTTGGTCTCTCAGAGTTTTCCTTGACAGGTGAGGCTGTCCTGAGCTCGGACCCTAACAAAGCAGTCAGTTTGCAAAAGAAAAATTTCTATGTCTGCTTCTTTTCCTTCCTGTTTTAAGTTCATGGAAATTTTGTTTTCCCACCAGAAGTAGGCAAAGGCCCTGCAGGCGGCCTCCGAGAAGCTCGCCAAGGAGAGCAAGTGATTGAGGACCAAACTGGACCATGCCAACAAGGAGAACGTGGACGTGATCACCCCGTGGAAGTCCAAACTGGAGACGGCCATCGCCCCGCACCAACAGGCCATGGGCGAGCCGAAGGCGGCCATGAGCCGGGGCGGGGGCGCCGAGGCGGCCGAGCTGGCTGAGCTCAGGATGCAGACGGAGAGGCTGCAGTTCGAGTCCCAGCAGGAGGTGGAGAACCTGAAGGCCCAGCGGGCGGCTGAGCGTGCAGCGCACGCCTTTGAGCTGCAGACGCTCAGGTCGCGGCTGGTCAGGACGGCCCAGGAGCAGAAGAACAGCCTGGAGGCCGCGCGGGCCAAGCTCGACCAGACCGAGGACCAGCACCTAGTGGAGATGGAGGATGCCCTGAACAAGCTGCAGGAGGCGGAGACGAAGGTAAAGCACCTGGAGGGGTTGCGGGCCATGTGTAGTCAGCAAGCCCAGGCCCTGGCCAACGCCACGGCACAGCTGGAGGTCAACCAGCAGAAGCTCTTGCAGCTCGATGGGCTCCAGAAGGCCAGTTCCGAGGTCAATTGGGAATGGAGAAGCTCAGGCAGCAGCTCCAGGTGGCTGAGCGGCAGATTCAGGAGTTAGAGAATGCAAAGCAGGCAGAGATCGGCAGGTTGGTACCCGGGCGCCCTCGCCCACTTCCAGGCTCGCTCCCTGCATGCTGTGTGTCAGTGTACTTGCCGCCGTGTTCCGGCTTTGTGCTGACAGGTCTCCCGGTCATGTCCCGTGCGGTTCCCTCTGATGGGACTGAGAACGTGTCGGCATGATTCTGGGGCTGTCATTGGTCCCCAGCACCCGGATGCCGTGCTAGCCTTGGCCTCAGCTAATCGGGCCCGTCTGGGGTCTTTCTGAAACAGAGAACTCTTCACAAGGCCAGTGAGAAAACAAGATAGGAGCCCCCAAAGCAAACCTCTGCCCCCCCCTCTTGGGCCCCCTGCATACTCGCCGACTCCGCCCAGACCCTTGGGCTCGAGGCTGGCCGCAGGGGTCTTTCCCTGACCTTGCTGACCACCTGCTCATGTGACTGGCTTTGCCGTCCTCTCCCCGAGGCGCCTCAGTTTCCAGCTGGTGCTCAATGCCTCTGAACCTCTGAGCTCCCTCAGGGCTGGTGACGTGGCCCATCTTGGTATTTCTCATTGCCGGCCCCTCCCTGCCTGCAGCACAAGCCCCTGCCCAGCCCTGCAGAGATTTCAGCCCTTTCAGCCTCTAAGGGGTGCTTGGGCCACGTCTGCCTTCCACATGGCCTCCTGCTGGCCACGGGCATGGACTCTCATGGTAGTGATGTCGGTGGGCCCCACGGGTGACTTAGTGAAGCGGGGAGGAGAAAGACGGTCACTTTCTCCCCACCCGCCTGTGCCACCCGGGACCCAGGGTTACTGGGTACTTGTCTCGCCTCACAGAAAGGAATTTCAGGAGTAGACAAGCAGTGAAACAAATAGATTTTATTTGGAGGATTTTTGGAGAGGGAGAAAAAGGGATAAGCAGATAAGCGGGGGAATGAGAGTAAGAGAGAGAGTAACGCGTCCAGCGAGAACGCGGGCTTCTCCGAGGGTGGAGAGAGCCCCTCCACACATCCCAGCATTAGACACGAGAGCATGAAAGTACACATCTCAAGAGGGGAGATGCGGGCGACACATGTGCTCAGGCACCACATGTGCTCAGCCACGTGGACGTACCGCACATGGGCTCAGGCAGCATGTGCGCACCCTGCCTTTCTTCCAGGTGGCCTTTATAGGGTTTCTCCAGCCTGTCCCCACGTGAAGCTTCTTCCCGGGTAAAAGTCTGTTGCTAAGGAGATTACCAGGGAGGTCCAAAAAGAGGAATTCCATGGGGAGGCCCATGTCCTGAGGGTCTGCGGATGGTCTTATCAGGCCTTTGCTTTCTGTATCCACAAGGTGGGTCCTTCCTAGAATTCTTCTTCCATGAAACTGTGTTTCATTGCAAAGGGCCTTTCCCTATCTGCTTTTCTACATCAGTAGCCCTGACCCTGGGGAAGGACAAGAGAGTGAGTTCTGGGCCAAGCCAAGCGAGCTGCATTTCTCACCAAGGAGCCCTGAGAAGTGCCCTTTTCCTCCTATAGGATTGTGGTGGCAGGGACGTGCCCTCCCAGCCGCCCCCCTCCCACCCCCCTGGCGCTGTGCGCTTTGTTGGAGAAACTTCTCTGTTGGCCAAGTTGGAAGGGCTGTGGGATTTGTAGACAGGACTGACAGACATAACAGAAGGACCCAGAGACCCCCGGGAGTTCCTCTCAGGACTCAGGACCCCTTAGCTGGCATTCCAGAAACAAATGGAATCAATTCCTAGGACACAGCAGGGGATAGTTAAGCCACTTGTTCGCATCAAGATGTAACAAACGTCAAGTTCTGGTGACTGCTGCCTAGTGGATTAGAGGTTCTTCATTTTAAATTTCATATTGAAACCCCTCAAACTTTTAAAGTCACAGACAAGAAACTACAAGAAAGTAAATCTTGGGGGCCAGAGAGATAGTACAGTGGGAAGGGCATTTGCCTTGCACACGGCCTACGTGAGTTCGATCTCCAGGATCCCATAGGGTCACTGTCATTGTCACTGTCCTCCCGTTGTTCATCGATGAGCTCGAGCGGGCCAAAAAAAAAAAAAAGATAACATTTTCTTCCCTCCCTTCCCTCCCTTTCCCTTTCTTCCCTGTTTCCTCCCTCCCTCCTTCCTATCCTTAGCCTCCCTCCTCCCTTGCTTACTTCCTTCTTCCTCAACAAGCCATGGTCTGGGCTCTGGGGTCCTCCCGCCCAGCAGTAGTGGGTCTTTTCAGCTTGTGGACCGATCTCAGGCTCGCCCAGCAAGTCCCCACTGGGTGAGTGGCGCCCAGCGGGGCCCGGAATCACTGTGGCAGGTTTGTGAGGCGTTTCTCGCTGTGCTCTGCCACTGAGGCCAACCCCTCCCTGCCCCCCCCCACCCCCCCCCGCGTGACTCAATGAGGTTTCTCCCTCCAGGCTGTGCAGACAGCGGAAGATGCCAGGCAGTTCATGGAGCAAATGACCCAAGAGAAGACAGAGACCCTGGCCTCCCTGGAGGACGCCAGGAACACCAATGCGAAGTTGCAGAGTGAGGTGGTTGATGGTGGTGACCAGGGCTGTGTAGGCCCGGCCTCAGCCTTGAGAGAAACCATATCCTGGGCCAGAGCGATAGCACAGCAGGGAGGGCGTTTGACTCACACACGGCAGACCCAGGTTCAATCCCCGGCATCCCATATGATCCCCTGAGCACCGCCAGGAGTAATTCCTTGAGTGCAGAGCTAGGAGGAATCCCTGTGCATTGCTGGGTGTGACCCAAAAAGAAAAGAAAGAAAAACCATATCCTTAGTCACTCAGCGAATACACTCAGGGCTTGGGAGGAGCATTCTTCATTCCGAGTCCTCTTTGTCTCTGTCAGGAGCCTCTAGTGTCCGTTCTTTTTCGGTCTTTTAAGCCACCACCAACAGTGCTCAGGGTCTGCTTCCTACAGACGGGGCTTCCTGCACGGGTGCGCTGCAGGACGCCCCTGAGCCCTTTGCTATTCAAACTTGTGTCTTCACGTCTGATTTGTGTCCCCATCCATGCCACTGGAAAACAGAAGCATTTGACCAGGTTTCTTTTCTCTTGGTCTCGAAGTCGGATCCCTTAAAGAAAACAACTTGAAGAATGTGGAAGAGCTGAAGAAATCGAAAGAGCGTCTGACTGTAGAGAATCAAGAGATGGAAGAATTCAAGAAAGAAATGTAAGTTTATGTCCTATGAGAGAAATTGCTTAATTAAATCACTTCAGTTTGGACCGGAGCCATAGTCCAGCCGGTAGGGCGTTTGCCTTGCAAGTGGCTGACCCAGGTTCAATCCCTGGCATCTCATGTGGTCCCCCGAGCACCCCCAGGATGGATTCCTGATTGCAGAGCCAGGAGTAACCCCTGAGCATCGCTGGGTGTGACCCAAAAAAGAGAAAAAAAAACACTTTATTTTAGGCAGCAAAAGTGAAAGCAATTGCTGGGTTTTTTTGTTTGTTTTTTTTTGGGGGGGGGACACACCCAGTAGTGCTCAGGCACCATTTCTGGCCGGCTCGGGGACCATAGGGGGTGCCAGGGGTCCAACGCGTGTTTGCAGCCTGCAAGGCAAGCACCCTGCCTGCCCTACTGCCACTCCAGCTCCAATGCTGCTTTTTAAAAATACATATGGGAGGTTCGTAAAGTGGAATGGACAGTTCCCATCCCCCCACACCTGTGGGGGCGCTGGCAGCCTTCCCCGTGGGCGTTCAGGAGCAGAGCTCCGTGCGAAGTAGAGACACGAATGTGGCTGAGGGGATGACTGGTGGCCTTGGGGACCCAAAGACCTTCTGGAACTGCAAGTGGATCGGGAGTCACTGTGTGGCTCCCACGGGAGACTGAGCAGTCTCCCCAAAGCAGGCACCGCCTGCAACCAGGTTTGCTGGTGACCATTTGCTAAGTGAAAGCTGCTCATTTGTCAGGAGATGGAGATAGGGAGAGAGAAAGGGAGGGAGGGAGATTTTTCATCCATAATTAAAATTAAATCTCCCAGCTCCTAAATGACTAATTAGCTCAGGCCTGAAATACCTCCCCCCATCACTAAATAAATAGCTCTGAAACATGCCTCATTTAATCATTGAGAGCATTTTGATGTGGATTTGACCCCCTAAATCTTCATGGGGTCACCCTAGTGTGCAAAGTATGGGGGATGGGAATTAACAAATCAAGAGAACTGAAAGGGGCCGAACGAACGCCACCACCCATTAGACTCTGCAGGTTAAAAATAGTTGTGTTCAGGCATGACAGATGGATCCAGCCCTCGGTGACTGGATCGGCACACAGTCAGCGTGACAGCTCGCATGGGGTTCAGCCAACACAGACAGTCTAACCGTCACCGCAACCTTTTATGGCATAAACCAGAAATGCAACCCTCAGATGAAGTATTTGTAACATCCTTGTAAGAACAGTAGTTTGGGAGGAGTGGGGCCAAGACACACGACAGTGAGTAAGGCACTTGCCTTGCGTGCGGCCACCCTGGGCCTGACCCCTAGCACAGCTGTGTGTATGCCACTCCCACCCCCAATAGTTTGGGATGTGTATTTTGAAATAACCAATAATGGGAGGCTGTTTGAATTTATTTACACTGTTCACATTGGATCTGCGTGCATTGGCCTTGCAGGGTCTCTCTTTTTAAATCATCGTTTTATTTTACTTTTTTTTGGGGGGGGGGCTACACTTGGCTGTGCTCAGGGCTTACTCCTGTCTCTGCGCTCAGGTTTCACTCCTGGTGGGGTTGGGGGGGGGTCCTCTCTGGTGCCGGGGATGGAACCCAGGTCTGCTGTGTGCAAGGCCAACACCCTCCCCGCTGTGCTCTGGCCCAGGCTCCTGGAGGTACTTTTCCCGACTCCACCCTGGCACCCACCTGCTGGGGAGTGAGCTGACCGCCTTTCCTTCAGGCGTTTCACCTGAGTCAGGTGCAGTCTGGCCAGTGGACAGACAGTGGCAAATAGGACAGTTTATTTTTGCCGAAAGAAAAGAAATTCTCCTGGCGTGCAGAATATCCCTATTTTCAGCATGGAGCGTTCCTGAGCTCCACAGACCCAGACAGGCCCAGCGCCAGCCCCCGCCACGGCCCCTCTCGAGCAGTAGGAATGCTCTCCAGGCGGGGTGCACGAGTGAAGGGTGTCACTCGCTTAAAAAGGCGTCACGCTGTGGGCCGTGTGGGACTCAGCGGCCCAACCCCACCGCTGATATGATGGATGCTATCAGGCATGTGACCGCATCGGTTTCTGCTGGCCGGGCTGCCTATTTCCATGGTAACGCTGGCTGCGCTGTCCTTGCAGAGAAATCTACTCGGTTGCTTAAGGATTGTTTTACCTAGGCCGCAAAGCTAGGAGGCCAGTCTCCCTTTTTCTTTTTAAGTTAAGAAATACTCAAATTTGGGGCTGGAGCGATAGTACAGTACAGGGGAAAGTGTGTGCCATGCATGCGGCCAACCCGGGTTCCATCCTAGCACCCCACATGGTCCCCCAAGCATCACGGCGAGTGACCCCTGAGTGCAGAGCCAGGAGGAGGAAGCCTGGTGCATCACCTGGAGTGGCCCTCAAGAAAAAGAACAAACTAACCCTCAGATTCACTCCTCTTTAAAGTGACCCTCCCCCTCCCCAGGACCCTGAGCTTCAGAAACAACCTTCACCCCTTCACCCCATTGGCTTTGCCGTGGGGCCCCAGGACATTTGTTTGACACAAATGGGCTTTATTTATTGGAAAAGAGCCTCTTGTATGCAGCAATGGGGGAAGTGCGAGACATTCCTGAGTTTGTTCCCGGCACCTTGGGGTCAGGGAACATGGACCGTGGGGGTGTGAGTACCGATAACCCCGCCCCCTGCCCCACGTGGTTTGATGTCTGGCATTGCAATCTACAAATTCGTCTGCTCTTGAAACAGCCCCTGCGCTAAAACACTGCCAAGCAAAGCCTTTGGACAATTGTGCTGGAAGAGCAGAGGAGAGGAGAGTCAGCACAACGGATGCCTAGGACGGGAATAAAAGTCTAATCCTGGGGCAGAACCCATGGCACTGCGGGGAGGGCCCAGCCTTGCCTGAGGCTGACCTGGGCTCAATCCCCGGCGTCCCATGTGGTCCCTAAGCACTGGCAGGAGTAAGCGCTGAGCACAACTAGGTAGGACCCATAAACAGAAGCAAAAAAAATTTATAAGTCAACCATTATTTAGCAATACAGACTTTTGAGCCCAGTGGCAGCAGTAGAATCTGCAGTTTTATTACTTCAGGTAGAAGACCGTACGACCTACTAAAAGCGACGACCAAAAATTCTGCAGTGACCAGATCTGGAAGGGGAAGAAAATAACCACTTTTCTGTACTCAAATTTTTCTTTCTTTTTTTTTAATGACATGCTAGGGGCTGGAATGATACTACAACGTACAACGGCTAGGGCGTTTGCATATTCAATCCCCAGCATCCCATATGGTCCCCCATGCACCAGCAGGAGTAATTCCTGAGTGCAGAGCCAGGCATAACCCCTGAGCTTCGCCGGGTGTGACCCAAAAAGCCAAAAATAAAATAAAAAAATGAGTAACGTGCTAGTGTTATTTTAATTAAAAACTACATATTCCCTTGCATGTAAAAACATTGTTGTTGCTGTTTTTCACTTTTATCACTCTATGGGGCTGGAGTGATATCACAGCGGGAAGGCTCTTGCCTTGCTTTTTGTCTGACTCAGGTGTGATTCCCGGACTCCGTATGGTCCCCCGAGCACCGCCAGGAGTGCTCTCTGAGCACAGAGCCAGGAGTAAGCCCTGAACACCGCCAAATGTGCCACCAAATAAAAAGAACTATCTTGTTACAGATTCATTTTCTGCATTTACTGTTATGACTCAGGAGAACAAAAACTTCAACCAGAGTACCAGGTGAAAAAGACATAGTTCCACAGGATGGAAAACATCTTGAACTGAGGTGGAGCAGAGAAGCCCAGAATTTGAACTTGCTGCAGAAATGCAAACGAAAGTCAGAATGAAAAGGACAAATAGGGGAGCTGCAGGATAGCACAGCGGGCAGGGAACTTGCCTTGTTGGAGGCCAACCCAGGGTCCATCCCCGGCATCCCAGGTGGATCCTCCCCCAGCCAGGAGTGATCCTTGAGCACAACGCCAGGACTAAGCCCCTCACATCACCAGGTGTGGCCCCAAAACAAAAGAAAAGAAAGAGGTAGATGGGCCTAAGCATATCTGAGCTTTGCTCTGAAGTCTGGGGCCGCAGGGAGCACAGGCTTTGCAGGAGGCAGAGTTCCCTCCCTCCACCCAGCCCCCAGCAAAGAGCCAGGAGCATCCCCAAGGCCAGCCCACTGCCAGGCTGCTGAAGATGGAGGACACAAGGAAGGGAAATGCGTTTCCCATGAACTCTACTGTCCTGTAATTCCCTGTGAGACAGCGCACGCGCCACCCCACCCCAACCATCAGTTCTGGTTGCGGTGAGACCCCCTCCTCTGTACTGTTGAGTGGCGATTGTCGGGGTCTGTTGCACGTCCATAGTTGCCGCCCGTCTCAGCTCCTTCTATCTGCTCATCCTCCCAGCCCCCCAGTGCTGGTCCCAAATGGTCGGTTCATCCCTGGTGCTATTTGCAGGAGACAGCTCCCAAGTTGGGGGCACACAGACACCAGAGTCCCATCCTCCCCTGCGCTCCCCACAACGCACATCCCCCCAGAATCATGACTGGTGCCCTGGCTTGAGGAGGCAACCGTCCATCAGAAGGCGAAGCATTTTTTTGTTCCATTTAGGTTTTGTTTTTTAAGACACTCGTCTTGACATGCAACTTAGTGCTGGAGCGGTAGCACAGCGGGGTAGGGCGTTTGCTTTGCACGCGGCCGACCCGGGTTCGATTCCCAACATCCCATATGGTCTCCTGAGCAACACCAGGAGTAATTCCTGAGTGCAGAGCCAGGAGTAACCCCTGTGCATCGCTGGGCGTGACCCCCAGTTAAAATAAATACATAAATAAATTTTAAAAAATAAATGGCCCAGTTAACCACTTGTCCATTTCCCTCTGTTGCCTCATCACCTCTGTTCCCCTTGCCCCCCTATGTCCCAGGAATGTTTATGCAGCCATCCATGGAAAGTCACTCCTTCAGGGGCCGCGGAAGTCGTAGAACTGGTACTATCTTGTCTTGTACACAGCTGAGCTGGGTTCAATCCCTGGCACCCCATGTGGTACTGTGAGCCCAGAGCCAGGGTAAACCCTGAACATGGCCAGGTGTACACACATCCATCCCAAAGAAAGAAAAGTTCAGTGAATCAAAGGAACAAATGATGACTTTATTTTTTTTTGTGGGAGTAAAAAATTTTAAAACGATAGCACAGCGGGTAGGGCGTTTGCCTTACAAGCGGCCAACATGGCCGACCCGAGTTCGATTCCTCCGCCCCTCTCGGAGAGCCCGGCAAGCTACCGAGAGTACTGGATATGCCAGACACAGTAACAACAAAGTCTCCAATGGAGACGTTACTGGGCCCGCTCGAGCAAATCGACGATCAACGGGAGGGCCTTTTAAAAAATTTTAAAACAAATATTGAACTGATTTGAACCAGCGAGTCTGACACGAACATCCACAGCTGTCCTGGACCCCAGACATTAATGAGATCCCCCACTTCACATGCACCTCTGTCTCTCTCCAAATATGCGTCCCAGGAGCCACACTTCTGTCCCCTCTCCTGTCCTTTCCAGACTGTGGCATTGCCCAGTCTTGACTGGCCATCCGTCCTCGCCCTGTGCTCCCCCACACACGTCCTTTTGTGGTGTAAATGCTCACACACACACACAGCCACACACGCACCCGTTGGGTTGTATCTGTTGTGTCTTCGCTCCTTCCCTGTCTTGCCGCCCTCTCTCCCCAGGCCAGGTCCTCCATCTCCTCTGCCAGCCAGCCCGGAGGAGAATCTGGCCGAGGGTGTGAGGCCACATGCTCCGTGTGCCCCGAGCTCTCATCCTCTACCGGAAACCCATGTTCATCTTTCTGTTCTGGCCTTTTGCGAATTGCCTTTTTGTTTAAGAGCAACTCACTTTGGTCCTCTCCAGAGTCTGGATGAAAATCATTCTCTGTTGGGTTAGTCGTAACAATCTTTGCCCTGTTCTGGCTCAGAAAGGTTTCAAAAACACATTCTCCAAACTTGCTGAAAGTTGCTGAAATGAGTGAGAACCAATGGATACTCCCAGCATAAAGCCACTCTGCATGACATTCATATAATTGCTTTGCATGTGTGTGTGTTTTAATTGTTGTCATAGCTTGGTAATAATTTATTCAAGATATCGCACTTCAACCTGGGATTAGCTGTTTAAAAGAATTCTTTTGGGGGGTTGGGGGTGCAACCAGTCCTTCTTTTCTTTTTTCTCTGTCTGTTCTCCATCTCCCAAAGTTATTAACTTGTTTCTTTAAATTCACATGGACAGAATGATACGCAGGTTCTGGCATGTACACATAGGCAAACTTTTTCTCCCTCACAGTCAGTAAAATTTCACTAAAATTTTGCACACGTAAAAGCCTGGGCCCCTCCCCCCACAATAGTCCTAGGAGCCGTTGAGCGTCCATTCTAGGGCAGTTGTGCACTGGGCTCTCTCTGGGTTGATTTCTGGCATTTTGAACACTTTGGTCTTTTAGAGAATCCATGTTCATAAGAGACTCCGATGAAGAGAAAGCTTCCCTGCAGAAATCCATCAGTATTACCAGCGCTTTGCTCAGGGAGAAGGACGCAGAGCTGGAGAAGTTGAGAAATGGGGGTCGAGTCCCGGCCCCGCCCACGTGGATCCGAGCCACGCCCATCTCCGCCCGGGCCACGCCTACATGGGGGCCGAGCCACGCCCATCTCACTCTGAACCACGCCCACATTGGCCTGAGCCATGCCCACTCCGGCTTGAGCCACTCCCATGTCGGCCCAGGCCACGCCCACATGGGGGTCCCAGCCACGGCCACGTGGGCCTAAGCCACACCCCTGTGTTGCAGGTCTCCTTGCTCAGGGGAGAAAATGCCTCTGCCAAGTCCTTGCATTCAGTTGTTTAGTCCCTGGAATCTGACAAGGTGAAGCTGGAGCTCAAGGCCAAAATCTTGGAGCTTCAACTCAAAGAGAAAAAAAGGCAGCTCCAGAGCTGGGCAGGTAAAATGCTACCGCTGAGGGGTGCCTGCTCTCCGCCCTCCCCCACACCTCCAGGGACACCAGCCCCCCTGACCCGCCGCCCCTCCCCCAGCTGGCTGCACAGGAGGGTGAACTTGGGCACCTGCCTGGAGCATGGGCTCGAGGTAGCGTCCCTGGGTCCGCAACACTGGCGCCAAAATAAGAGCCCAGAACAAGGCGAAAAGGCACTTTGGGGATGGGGGTTAGTTTGGTTTTGGGGTCACACCTTGCGGTGCTCAGAATTTACTGCTGGCTCTGCTCAGGGATCACCCTGCTCAGGGGACATTCAGGGGACCAGAGATCTAACCCCCTACCTGCTGAACTGTTGCTGCCCCCAAAAGGCACATTTTCAAAGACCTACACTCACTCTTTTTGTTTTTTTTCAACTAAAAGGTAATTCTGATTCTCAAGCAGATGAGGACGAAAGGGCCCAGGAGAATCAGGTAATATTTCTTTGCTGTGTTGCTTCCATGTTATGTTTTAGTTTGGTTGTTAGTTTGGGGACCACACCCCGTGGTGCTCAGGGCTTACCCCAGGCTCTACACTCAGGAATCACTCCTGGTTCCCTGAGCACCACCAGGAGTAATTCCTGAGTGCAGAGCCAGGAGTAATCCCTGTGCATTGCCAGGTCTGACCCAAAAAGCAATAAGTAAATAAATAAATAAAATGTATTTATGTTTAAGTTTATGCATTTAGGAATAAAATGGGGGCTTTTTTTGTTTGTTTGCTCATAGGAGTTTTCGTTGCAATGAGTATTAAATAGATTCACCTCATTCTTTTTCTTTTTAAAGTTTTATTAGTGAAACACCATGAGGTACGATTGTGGACTTACAAGTGTTTGTGTTTGGATTTTAGTTATACAATGATCAAGTACCCATCCCTCCACCAGTGCCCATTCTCCGTCACTAATGATCCCAGTAACCCTCCCACCCCCCAACCCCCCTCACCTCATCCCCCCCATCCCATCTCTGTGGTAGGACATTCCCTTTTGTTCTCTCTCTCCTTTTGGATCTTGTGGTTTGCAAAAGAGGAATTGAGTTCACCACCGTGTTCAGTCTATAGTCTACTTTCAGCATGCATCTCACAACCCAAGTGGATCCTCCAAACACCCGATTCACTTCATTCTTGAATCCTCGCCCTTTTGGCCTGGGATACTGGACTTAAGGATGAGGTGTGTCCTTCCAGCGTCTGCTTCTGAAACCTTGGGCATTTCGTGCACATTCCATGCATCTGTGTATTTCTGGAGGGAAGATTCTTGGTTTCACAGTTTCAGAAGAAAAGCTATTTGGACATTCCCAATAAAATTATTTCTGCTCAAAAAAAAATAAACCATTAGCCAGTGTGTTAAGTCTATGTATATTATATAATCTCACTCTGAACTGTCCTCCTCCAGTACCCCCCAGACAAGTAAACAGTTATTTCATCATTTTTTTATTTTTCCATATAAGCAGATGTATATGTTTATAAGCATATGTAAGCCAAGCCTAAATCTTTTCTTTTTGACTTAAATATTTTCATTTTACACGAAATGGTCTGAGCTTAGCTCCCTTAATAGCTGCTTACTATTCTATTCTATGGATTGCTGTAATTTCATCAAATTTGAAATTAATCTAGGATAAACCCCTAGAAACAGAATTGCTCCACCTAAAACTTCCTTTATATTTGGCTACTTGACTTCATTTCTCCTGTGCTGAATGGAGGGGCCATCTCAGCCTCTGTCCCAGACACCCAGCGGCTCCTGGGACTTAGTGGGGGCGGCGAGCCCGGAGCTGCCTGGGGTGTCTCACTGTCCTGGGCATGAGGAGCCCAGCAAGCCTTGTTTTCTCTCTCCTTTGCCTCCGCTCCCGCTTGTGCCTCCTGCTGCCGCCAACACTTTCCTCCTAAGCAGCAAATGCTTTGTTGTCTTCCTCACTTGTGAGTGTGTGTGCATGTGTGAACATGTGTGTGTGCTCACGCGAGCACTGGGGAGCGTGTCTGTGTGTGTGTCCGGGTGTGTCCACGTGTAAGCGTGTCTGGCTTTCCCCTCTAGATTTGAATCCCTGCTCTGGCCTTTTCCTCTTCCTGAACGGTAGCTCCCAACAGGACCGTGTCTCGGAGGGAAGTGGGAATCGTTTCTTGGCTCCAGTGTGGGAGGGCCTGGGCCCTCTCAGAGACTCGTCGTCAGAACTTGCCCTGAGGGAGAAAAAGAATCAGTCTGTTTTTCTGGTTTTCTTTCTACTTTCTTTGGGGGCCACACCTGGCTATACTCCGGGCTTCCTCCTGGCTCTGCACTCAGGAATCACTCCTGGCTGCTCTCCGCTGGCCCCTGTGGGATGCCAGGGATCAAACCTGGGTTGGCTGCGTGCGAGGCAAGCACCTTTCCCGCTGTGCTATCACTCAGACCCAAACCTGCCAGTTTTTAAATGAAACATGAATGTTTGTGCCTACAGTCATGCTTGCTTTTGTAAAGTGGGATTTTTTCCCCCCCCCGTGGATTTTAAAGAAGTGAGTCTGTCTTTGTAGGAGAGGGAAGGCCCTCTTGACTCCCTGCTCTGAGAGGAACCGAGGGGGCCCAGCATCTCCTCCTGGGGTCTTCCCTGGGGTACCCAGGAGCTTGCGCTCAGGAAGGGAGAGGGGAGCTCTGGCTGCCTCAAACCCTGGGGCGGGGACTGGAAGCGGGGCCCAGCCTCCTCTGTGGCGGGCTCCGATGGCTCCCGCAGATGGCTCACCGTCTCACGCTCTCCTTTAACACAGATCGATTTCCTGAATTCCGTGATTGTGGACCTCCAAAGAAAGAATCGGGACCTCAAGATGAAAGTGGAGATGATATCCGAGGTGGCTCTCGACGGGAACTGGGACGACCTCAACAATGATGACAACAACAGTTTCGGCCCGGCCACACCATTCTCTGCACTGTGCAGAAATCTCCAGCTGTTGATGCATGAGATAACAAGCTACTTGTGAAACACCTAAAATAACCAATTTACTGTCTTTACAGTTTTCTTTTTTTCACCGTGCTTTTAGATGAATGTATGATGAGAAATTCAACATTAATACTTTTGGATTTTCTTATCACAAAAAAATTAAATGAAGGACCTCAACCATCAGAAGTTTATCATCCAGTTTGAATCTATTTATCTTCATTTGAATGTTTTCTAGTTCTGTAAAAAGTGATAAATAATGTACCATCCAGGCGACATGTATAATAAGAACGTCTATCATTGTATATATGCTTTTAATGTATTTTCCTCTGGAGATTATCAGGTGTCTCACCAGTCAAAGATCTGTAAACTATTGAAATTTTTAGTAGTAAACATGATTGAAATTGTTTCACACACTATGTAAAGCAGTATTAAAATTTGAGCAAACAGGTGTTCTATATCTACATTAATAACATTATTTCCTTTTTGCCAGTGATAACTGATTATGCTCAGGTTCATTTATAAAAGATTTTTGGCTAGCAATCAAGAAATATGGAGTCAAATGAGTCAAACAGTTTCTACAATGGAATTCTGATACACCAATTTCTTTTTGTTTCTTTATGTTTGTGCCACCCCTGGTGATGTCTTAGGGCTTATTCATGGCTCTGCACTCAGGAATCACTCCTGACAGTGCTCGGGCAGACTATATGGAATGTCAGGGATTGAAGCCAGATTGGCCAAAGCAAATGCCCTACCAGCTGCACTATTGCTCTGGACCTGTAAACCATTTTCTTAAAAGTGTTTATCTTGGGCTAAAGAGATAGTGCAGTGAGTAGGGTACTTGCATGTGGCTGATCTGGGTTCAATGGCAGGAATCCCATCCAGTCATCAGTGCCCTGGCAGGAGCAATCTGTAAGTGCAGAGGCAGGAGTAAACCCTAAGAAGCACTGGGTTGGGGGTATGGTGTCACAAGCAGGTCAGTCTGTACCTGTGAGGCGAGTGCATCAGCAGACTTCCAGGTATCCCCAAATTGCTGCCGTGCTTTTGGCCAGGCCCCAAAAACTTGGGGCAGAGTTGACCAAGAAAGTAAACAGGCAAAAGTTAGGTATGTGGGAGATACACCCACAAACCACCTCCAGTTCAGCTATATAATTGGAGACATGGCCTCTCTGGTTCCTGATTGAACTGCTTAACGGCCATGATCCCAGAGAATCAGAAACAAATCTCGAAACCCAACGGCTTTTGGCAGAAATGTGTCCAGTCCCTGCAGAAAGTTAGAGGCGCTGGGCCACCCCAGGTGGGAATAGATTTTGTGCCTTGGCCTGTTCTCCCTGGAAGCCCGCTGGCCGCCATCCTCCAGAGGCCACTGGACAGTCAGGTTTGGGCCCACAGTTACGAGACACTTAAGGTCTCACGGGATGGGGGTGGAGCTGGCCCTTTCCTCCCCAACAAGACCCCAAGTCGTCACCCACAAACGGCCTCTCTGGCTTCTGATCAAGCTCTTTAACGGCCATGATCCCACAGACTCAGACACAAATCTCGGAATCCAGTGGCTTTTGGCAGAAATGCATCCAGACCCTGCAGTAGGTTACTGTCGCTGGGCCATTCCAGGGAGGAAAGGGTGCTGTCCCTCCACCTGCTCCCCCTTGGCGGCTCGGTGGCCACCATCCTCCAGAAGTCATTGGACAGTAAGGTTTGAGCCCTCAGTGATGAGACACGTGGGGCCTCATGGGATGGGGGTGGGACCAGCCCTTCCCTCCCCATCCCAGCAAGACCCCTAGTCACCGCCCACTAATGGCCTTTCTGGCTCCCGATCAATCTGCTTAATGGTCATGATCCCACAGACTCAGGAACAAATCTTGGAACCCAGCAGGTTTTGGCAAGAAATCCCTCCAGATTTAATTGTTAAAATTTTGGAATTTCAAAATCGCGCAGCCACTACTACAACCACGCGACATCATATGTTATTTACAACCAGGAATAGAAAACAAATTGTCTACTGTTGCCTTTTCAGGAGATCTGAGTTTTGGGGTAAAATCCCAAATAATAATAGTGGATCCGGTGTCAAAATATTGAATGTAATCAAAGTAGAGAGAGAGTAATGTGGAAATCATCTCCTCCACAGGTAAGTGGAGGGTGTGGGATGGGGGTATACTAGGGGTTTTGGTGGTGGAGAATGGGTACTGGTGAAGGTACGCATGTTTCATTGTATGACCAAGACTTAAACCCAAAAGCTTTGTAACTGCTATCATGGTGATTCAATAAATAAAATTATAAAAAATGAAAAAAATAAACCACTGGTGAGGTTTAAAGGTAAAAAACCCTACACAGGGTGCTGGAGAGATAGCACAGCGGGTAGGACATTTGCCTTGCACGCAGCGGACCCGGGTTCAATTCCCAGCATCCCACATGGTCCCCTGAGCACCGCCAGGAATAACTCTCGAGTGCAGAGACAGGAGTAACCCCTGTGCATCGACAGGTGTGACCCAAAAAGCAAAAGAAAAACCCAAAACAAAATCTTTATTGTATTATTGCAAAGCTTCCTAACCAACGTAGCCTAAAATGAATACCTTCAGTGATTCTCCGTAGCTATTTCACAAGAAGAAATGAAAGGGACACCATGCAGTGCAAGCAGCATCAATCCATAAAATCTGGGAAAGAAACTGGAAGTTGCTATATTTTTAACCCAAAATGAACAGATCCAACGATGTTTATAAGCACCAACTCCTGTACGTTTGACGCACGTGTCCTCAGGTTGATTTTTCTGGAGAAAGAGCTTGAACAAGACCGTCACCTTTAGCCTACATAATCCCCAATAGCAGTCCTTGACTTTAGAATCTATGGTAGGGAATTCACACGGTCTATACAGGAATCATGGTTACTTGGCAGGATATCCAAATATTACATCGTACTGTGTATATTCTGTAATACTACGTTGTAAGTCAGTAAACTCTAGATTGGAGAGAGAGCCCTGGCAAGCAGCAAACCCAGATTCTTTTCCCTGGCACTTCCTATGGTCCCCAGCATCCCCTCCAGGAGTGATGCCTGAGCAGAGCTCGGAGGAGCCTCAGCACTGCTGGATATGGTTCCCGAGTCCCTTCACAAATATAAGTAAGCACCCATTTTGTGGATTATAGTATATACGGTCACGGTCCTCCCGCTGTTCATCGATTTGCTTGAGCGGGCCCAGTAACGTCTCCATCGTGAGACTTGTTACTGTGTTTGGCATATTGAATACGTCATGGGTAGCTTGCCAGGCTTTGCCATGCGGGCGAGATACTCTCGGTAGCTTGCCGGGCTCTCCGAGAGGGGCGGAGCGTGCAAGGCAAACGCCCTACCCGCTGTGCTATTGCTCCAGCCCATAATATACATCAGGATCAGGATCAGGATCATCCTGTTGTCCGTCGATTTCCTTGAGCAGGCACCAGTAACGTCTCCTTCTTCCTAGTCCTGAGATTTTAAAAGAGCCATTTCAATGCTCTTTTAGGATTAGGAGAATGAACCCCGTCATGGTTACTGGTATTTGGCATATTGAGTAGGACACGGGAAGTTTGCCAGACTCTGCCATGTGGGCAGGATACTTTCGGTTAGCCTGCCGGGTTCTCCAAAGTAAGAACGCGATAATAAGATGTCATTATTCCGGGAGCTGGGTTTTATAGTCTCTGGATTTTGGCCGTTGATGGGACCAACCTGGCGCTGGCGGCAGCTGGTGGGTGTGACGTTTACCTACTGGAAGATGAGGAAGGGGTCTGGGTGGAGAAGGCCCAGTCCCGATCTGAGTAGGCTTGGAGACCTCAGCCCCGGGACCCGCATGCCTGGGTTCCTCTGCCAGTTCTTTCATGCATGAGGCCCGTCCGGACGTGTGGAGAGTGGGCCCAGCATGGCCGTGGCTGGCTCCAGAGGTCCTCAGCTACTATGGCTCTGCTCGGGGTGGGGCGGGGCGGGGGGAGAGAAACTCAACCCTCCCCCCTCCAAGGGGCCCCGGTGAGGAGAGCCAGGCGCGGGGGCAGGAGACTCTGCTCAGACAAGAGCTGGATCATCAAGATCAGGCCAGGGCCAGCCCGCCAGCGAGAAGGGCGCCCTCCTGTGGCATCTTGGGAGAACAGCAGCTCAGACGCAGGCTAGAGAATCAAGATCAGGCCAGGGCCACCCTGCCAGCGAGAAGCGCGCCCTCCCGTGGCAGCTTTGGAGAACTGCAACTCAGACAACAGCTGGATAATTAAAAGCAGGCCAGGGCCACCCCCGCCAGCGAGAAGGGCGCCCTCCCGTGGCAGTTTGGCAGAACTGCAGCTTAGACAAGAGCTGGATCAAACCAAGATCTGGCCAGATCACCCCCGCCGTCGAGAAGCGCGCCCTCCTGTGGCAGCTTGGGAGAACTGCAGCTTAGTCAAAGGCCGGGGAGTCAAGGTCTGGCCAGCCACCCCTGCCTTTGTCCCCAGGTGACCCTGTCTGCCTTGTTTCATCCAGCCCCCCGTGATCTCTTTCTCACCCCCTCACTGTTCTCTAACTTTCTTTCAATAAAAACATTTTACTGAAGAATTTTATTGAAAATGTTTTTTCGATAAAAAGACATCATAATCCTTGCATTACATTGCTGATGTTGCCAGTATCATGGCCATGTTTACCATACAGCCACCAAATTTCACCAAATTTGTCCCAATGTTACCAAGCCCACCAAATTCGTGCCATAGCAAACCAAAACGGAAACACCTCCCCCAAAACAGCAGTGGCAAACGTTACCAAATTCACCATACCAACAACAGATTCACCGTGTTTGTGACACAGTGTACCAAATTCACCAGATCTGTGAAAGCCAACCAAAATCGGAAAGATAAAACACCAGTGCCAAACCTCACCAAATTTTACCACAGTGTGCCAAATTCACCAGATTTGTGCCACATTCAAACAAAACACAAATAGCAAAATAGTGGTGCCAAACATCACCGAATTTTCCGTAATATCATCAAACTTGCCAGATTTGTGCCACCTCCAATCAAAACAGAAATAGCAAAAAATAGCAATGCCAAACTTCACTGAATGTACCAGTTCACCAAATTAACCAGAATTGTGCCACAGCCAACCAAAACAAATACAAAAAACAGCAGAGGCAAACGTCACCAAATTTGCCATAGCATCACCAAAGTCACCGGATTTGTGCCACAGCCAACCAAAACCAAACTACCCCAAAAGCACTAGTGCCAAAGTCACCAAATTTGCCATAGCATTGCCAAATTCACCAAATTTCTGCCACAGTCAACCAAAACGGAAATGCCCCCATAATAGC